GCTTGAGATAATGCACATAACATTCTTAGTACAGGCTCTGGGACAGAGTAAGTATTTTGTAAATATAAGTTATATTGTTTCCACCATTCCTGTTCTTTGGAATAATATCCTAATATCATTAAGGATATAATAATTATTTCAATTAGAAATTGAAGGAGATAACCAAATAAGAGGGATTGTGTAGTTTTCAGAGTGAGGTTAAAGCATTGATTTAGAAACAGCAAGCCAAGCATTCTCTCATCCCTAACTCTTTACAATATAACTCATAATATCCCTGATGGTACAATATATCATCAAAGTCATCTTCATAAATATGGTTTAAGTGAGAAGTCCTGTCCTTTCCCTTCCCAATTTTGGGAGTTACTGTCTCATATTCACTGTCTTGTCAGTATGGTTTCTCAAGTAGCATTATCTTTGTCATCATGTATTTCCAATTTAATAATTCCTAATTGTTGGTTGCTTTTCAACCAGACCTTTTGGCAAGCTTTATTTCATTTGTAATCATTTATTGAAATTGTAGGGAATTCCCTGGCAGTCCAGTGGTTAGGACTTAATTCAACAACCAGTGGTGGTACTGTCAAATGTTACAGTTCATACTGCACTTGTATAGAATAGTCCTGTTTTCCATTGTGACTGTCTTTGAAGTATAAAAATTGGTTTTAAGGTGAAAGAATTGTTTTGTGGTGGTACAATTGAAAAATAGAGCAAACCAGTTCCTGATACTATGAATGAAACATGCATTTTTACTTATAGCATATCTGAGGACCATTGTGTGAACTCTCTCTGGTATATTAGTCTAAAATAAAATTGTAGATTAGGCATTGTGCCTTCCTTTGAGAATTCTTTACCCCCACTCTTTTGTGATTTAAAACAGCTCTGCTGCTTCCTATATAACATTTTCCAGATTATTTTCCATTTTTTTTCCTCTTATGTGAATCCTTTCAGTTGGTGCTGTTTTTCTTGTCTAAAAATTCTTACCAGAGAAGTGCTTTTAACTATTTTTACCCCTTAGAAATTACAGATATTCAAGTGAAGGTTAAGCACCTTGTGGTAATGGTGACTTTGAATGGTATTCACATTGCTAATAAATTGACAAAGTGTAGAACTACCAACCAAGCTGAGGTGGAAGAGACATACGAGACTGAGCTGCCCCAGATAAAATAAATCAGGAAGAAAAAGAAGCACTATTTCTTCCCTTTTTTAGGCAGAAGAAGCATTCCACCTCTCCTTGGAGATTCTTTTAAGTTACCACTGCCCTCTTGTTGATTATATTCCCTCCAATTTTGATTCCCCTCTAACGTCCAGAAAGATTCCCAAATTGTCTTTCTGTTTTCCCTTCTCCTTTACGTTGATATCATTTCTATTTCTTTGGTGTAAATTATGTATCTCAGTAAGGATTTAGAAAGAAAATAATTGATTCAATTAATTAATACAAAAACCCCCTTTACTAGTCCCAGTATTTGCATTTTCAAATTAAAGCTTGTTCAAATGAACCTCCAGTTCATGGGTTTTCAAATTGTGTGACAGAAAATTGGGATGGGGCAAGGTTTTGGTTTGTTGGTTTGTTTTTTCTGCTGCTTTAAATCGTTGTTGTACCATGATCAGCTCTCTGAAGTTATTTGTACTTTTGGTAGCTTCTCTGTTCTTTCTGTGTTTCCAAATTCTTAAGTTTTCCAAAAGTTCTCTGTGCACATATGTTAGAATTGTTTGTGTATGTGAATTGGTGGTGAAGATAGTTTTTCGTAACTCTTACTGAAAACGCCTCCACCTCTAGCCTAACCTGAGCAGTCCTCTTAGATGGCAGTGAGACTAGCAAAATGTTTCAAGTTTCATTTTGTCTGTATCTTACTCAAGGTGGAGATTTAAGGATCTGCTTAATAGGAGTGTATAAACAAACAGCTGCTATACCGTACCAAAAGTTTGCTAACCCCTAAAATTAAGCAAATGGTCTAAAAGTTCTCTTTTCTGCAAAAGAAACTTAAGCCACACCATCCAAAAACAATTACTTTGGACTCCTCCATGAAAATGGATACTACAAGGCAAATTACAGTCAGAATGGTTTAAAGATATAATCTTGAATTTTTAAAATAATCTTTCAAATGATTGCAAAGAATTTCACGAACTTCAAAGGAAAATATTTACCTCCTTCATTCTAACTGCAACCAGTTTTGCCCCAAAGGTACATGGTACATGAGTGTTTTGGTCTCCCCAGTCCTATATTTACTGGCCCGCGCAGAATTGGGTATAATTATAAATGCAGTAGTCCTTTTCATATGATGAGGGCAAAATTATATAGTATTTATAGACAGCAGTTATAGTAGTACCGTGTGTTCCATAGTCTCACCTAAGTGTTTGCTGAGTGAGTTTTATTTACATGACTATTTAATAATACATGGAATCCTGCTGGGAAATATGGTCCTTATTTAAAAGAAATGTGCACTCCACTAACACCACTCCCCATGTATTCCAGAGATACTTCGAAAACTGCTTAAATAATCAAAGACTTTACATTTCTCTCTGAATCATCAGTTCAGTTCAGTCGCTCAGTCGTGTCCGACTCTTTGCGACCCCATGAATTGCAGCACGCCAGGCCTCCCTATCCATCACCAACTCCCAGAGTTGACTCAAACTCATGCCCATTGAGTCGGTGATGCCATCCAACCATCTCATCCTCTGTCGTCCCCTCCTCTTCCTGCCCCCAATCCCTCCCAGCATCAGGGTCTTTTCCAGTGAGTCACCTCTTCGCATGAGGTGGCCAGAGTGCTGGAGTTTCAGCTTCAGCATCAGTCCTTCCAGTGAACACCCAGGACTGATCTCCTTTAGTATGGACTGGCTGGATCTCCTTGAAGTCCAAGAGACTCTCAAGAGTCTTCTCCAACACCACAGTTCAAAAGCATCAATTTTTCGGCACTCAGCTTTCTTTGCAGTCCAACTCTCACATCCATACATGACCACTGGAAAAACCATAGCCTTGACTAGATGGACCTTTGTTGGCAAAGTAATGTCTCTGCTTTTTAATATGCTGTCTAGGTTGGTCATAACTTTCCTTCCAAGGAGTAAGCGTCTTTTAATTTCATGGCTGCAATCACCATCTGCAGTGATTTTGGAGCCCAAAAAAATAAAGTCTGACACTGTTTCCACTGTCTCCCCATCTATTTCCTCTGAATCATAGTCACCCTATATTAGAAAGCAGTACAAAGTAAGTGGGAGGACTAGGTCAGTAGGCCCTTCTAAACCTGAACTGATATGATACTCTTCACAATTACATACAGAAGAAACTAGATACTCCCTGTATGATCTGTCTCTTAACATGTGTTAATATTTCAGGACTTGAGACTTCCCTGGTAGTCTAGTGGCTAAGACTCCGCGCTCCCAATGCAGGGGGCCTAGGTTCGATCCCTGTCAGGGAACTAGATCCTGCATGCTGCAGCTAGACCCTAGTGCAGCCAAATAAATAAATATTTAAAAAAAAAAAAAAAGTCAGGCCTTAGTGAATTTTAAGGGTTGTAACTTGTGACATGCAATACCAAACCCATGGTCAGGTATTACTGGCCAATTTCTGTGTAGAACATATTTCCTGATTCTTTATAAAGGTAGAGGGATTGTGTTTGCTCAGTTAGAAACTTAGGAAGCATTTTACATAGAATATACTTCTCTGACTGTTTAGATGTGTTACCTTCAGTTTGGTCAAAAGCCATTCTCCTAAAGATAGTGGACTTCTGACTTAAAATGAAACTGAAGATCATTCTCACTTGAACAGGAACTCAATAGTTGGCAACATAGCAGGTTAAAGACATAGAAGACCTCTTTAAGTTTTGTCATTACTGTGATCTTTCATGTGATAAGACGCTGGTTAGAATTTTTCACACAAATAATTACTATTTTCAAAGCTATTTAAAATCACTTTTAAATTCTAATTGTGTGATTGTTTATACCACTTAATGTCATTATTAGATACACTGTTAATTGCTTAATATGGAACAAGGGGAATAAAATTACACTGCAGCAGAAAGCAGTTTTATTTCTCCATTTACTAAAGTATGAAATTTTTAATGTGCTTACTTATTTTTTAAGGCATATAAAATTATCAGGTGTTATCTTTGAGCATAGATTGGTACATTTCTTTAGATATTTCTTTATTTCTTACTTACATATGGTGTTTTTATTACTTGATTCAGCTTTTGCAAAGTAGGTTTGTTTTGTTTTTAGCCGAGAGGCTTTAACTGCACAGATTGGCTTCTGTGAGTTTATGTTTCCACTGTTCTTTATCTAGTTGTATATGCCAGGCTTCTGTAATGAAAACTTACAATGAGTGTTTTATTACTTAACCTTACCAAATGCCAGTTCTTATTCATAGGTACTTACCTATGAGGGTTATAAATATTAACATGTCATATGCTTTGTTTAGAAAAAAACTAATTTCTTTCCTACATCTCATTTTGGAAGATTCTATCCAATAGAATGCCACAAGGCAAATTAAAAGGCACCCCTGCTTCATGGAATATTAGATGTTTTAAGACAGTGGATTCCAGCCATTACTTCCTTGTAATATAAAATGGAACTACTTGCCCTTGCTCCCTCTCTCTTTTTAAAATTCTCTTTCTTTCTTTTGCTCTCCTCTAAAAAAGGATCATACATCTGGCTCTCCAAGAGTTTAGAAGACAACCTTTTCCCCTTTTGGAGGGGGCAGTTTTTAGGTTTAAGCTTGGCAGTGTTAAAGCCTTGACATAATCAGTTTTACACAAATTATGTGTTAGCTAGAAAACTGAGGGACATTCTCTACCAAGCCATGACAACGTACTGCTGTAACTTAATAAAAATTGCCCAAGTGACTATGCGTCTGCTGAATGGATTTTCTTACACCATCTGGTTGTCATTGTAGTTTTTTTGTTGTTGCTTTCATTTGAAATGTGCTGATGATCTTGTTTTTATTCCGTAGCATTGAACAGATGGGTTGATTATTCTTTTCAGATATTAATAAGGCAGCGGAAAGAAGAAATATGAATACGGCTCCATCAAGACCCAGCCCCACACGAAGGTAAAGTACCCTGAAGCAGTGAGTTACCTTGGGAGAGTTGGGCTCTGGGGAGTTAAGCCCAACTTCGTACATCAAGGGTCTTTTCTTCCCCCCCCAAGAAATCAGAAACGCACAAGCAAACAATAAGAACGTGAACCTGTGTGAAGGGCCTTGCTGCTTTTTTAGAACACACATCAGGAGATGCAGAGGAAGCTTTGTTTTCCGTGGCAAACCCAGCAAGTTCAGCTTGCACCGTGAGTTGCAGGCGATTGGAAGAGGATAAACCTCTGTGTGTCCCCCGCTCACGTGTCAGTGGGAGCCTCCACAGCAGGAGTGCCTGAGGGTCGGTGTGTGCTGCGCTGCCCTGCAGCAGGCTCAACTCTTCATTCCACATGGCTGCCGGTCCAGATGTTCACCCAGGTTTACAGAAAGTGCTGCTTGAGAGATTGCTACTGTGCCTGTGCTGCAGATCCCCTGTGCGCTCGCATGCTTGGGTTACCTATTGAGGGGAAATAAAAAGGGCAAAAACACCCTACCTCTAGAAGTCTCCCTTTTTCTTAGTTTTCCTGGAAATAAAAGGCATCTTCCCAAATAGTCTTCCACTATTTACAAAAGAGATAGTCCTGATGTGTACCCTCAAGATATGCATTAAATTGGTCCCAAAGAAGACCCTCATTAATGTTGCCATTACACCAAAGATGAGTATATTGTAATCAAACTGTCTGGCCTCATAAATAGCACATACGTGGATGCAGTGTGTGCAGTTTTGTGTGGAGTGCAGACATACATATCTCATATCTGGTGTCTCGTCATGGCCCAAGTGGATACTCGGTATGGATTTTGCCTTTGCCCCTAAGTAAAATACCAGTTTTCCACAGCAAACTGTGTACCTAAACTATATACCACAGGAAATTACATTTCATATGATGACTGAACATGCTGGGTACAACAAATCCTAGTCTGTACTGGTAGCTCCACAGGTCACTTGGGGGTATACCCAACTAACTGGGCACTTACACATAACATATTGCTGTCCTGCTTTGAAACAAAAACACCTATAGTTTGTTACCTACTTATAGGAAGGATTGGCTGCTCTGTGTTTGTATATGCTCCCACTTGGACCTGATGGTATTTTCTAAGCTACCAGGATTAAATTACACGGGTATGTTCTGCAGAGTTCAAGCAGACCTTAGGGACAGAGTAATGCTGCTGATTTCAGTTAGATTCTTTGAGCACTCTGCCTGGAAGTTGAATCTAACACCACAATTATAGCTGCACCACAGCTGTTAGCTGGATGCCCTGGTCATCCATTGGTTTCACTGCAGAAGTGAGCATATACATTGGTATTGTTTGTTTTCTCTGACACCATAAGGAATGCCAGCAGCTTGCAGGAAATACTGTATTGATTGATTTTGTGTATATGTGTGAGTGTCCTAAAGAACATAAATGAATGCTTTGGAACTTCAGCAGATCCATATAATGTCTGTTTCCATTGTGCTGCATCTAACCACGCTGCAGATGTTGGGCACTCCCTTCAGTGTTGCTCCTCAAGTTGCCCCAGTAAACATGGAATACAAGTGACTGAGAGTTTTCATCTAATAGACATATGGGGCTCCACTGGAAGCTGTTGGGTGCTAAATGACTTGAAAGGAGATGCGGTGTATATCCAATTTCCAAGGAGCTCAAATGTGTGTTTCTGAAGTAGGTAGCTTACAGGAGTGTAGAACTGGTCACTATAAAGACATGCCTCTGGTAAAATCCTCCTGCTCTCTGTATCCTTATGATGTCTGTGATGTCGGGTAGTGTTTCCACAGGCAAAAAGGAGGTTGGGCTGCACGTCACAGAATAAAAGGTAGTTCTCATTTGTGCTGTGATAAGAATATTTTATGTCATTCCACTAAAACTAGACCTAACCAGATGCTTTTAACGTTTCCCATTATTGTAGATACTCACTAAGCATTGGCAATATTGGGGAATAGCCTACTCCCCTGCTTGAAATCCAATATTGCCATTGCCTGAGCATTAAATTTAAAAGATTAATTTCATCCCAGCCTAAAATTTCATCTGTAATGAAAGAGTGCTTTTTTCTTTCTTTTTTTATACCCCCCCCCCCAAGATAAACATACAAACAACATTGGAGGGGGACTTTTAAAATGTCCTTCTTACCAGATTTATAAACATATGTCACATTTTCATTTTAATATATCGTCTTCCTCAAAAATAAATTCTAAGATGAGGTCATTTGGGACGTGGATTGGGCTGTGGCTTCCCATTTATAATCAATAGGAGGGACAGCTAGGCTAATTAAAGATCCATTAAAAATCAGTCTTCTTGGTGATCCATCCCTAACTAGGTTCCTCAAAGTGTCGTTTAACATGATTAAGTTTCACATAGTCATACTCAGTAAGATTTAGGGAAGAGGGATATTCACATTTAGTTTAAAAAAAAAAAAAATCTATTTTCTGAGCCCCGTCTAAAAGTCTAAACAGAGTCCCAGTTTTGTTCCATTTAAAAATAAAAATTTTCAAACCATAAAGTCAGATAAATTGAATGTTGTATTCAAAATAGAACACTAACGTTTTGATCATTGTGCTTATCATATATTGTCTCTTAAGATACTAGTCTGGAAGGGGCTAATCATTTCTCTGAGGGTGAACACTGGCTAGCACGCGCTCTCTTCAGGTGTGTGCTTCCAGGCAAAACCTTGAGATAATTCCAAGTGTACCAGTATGTTGACAGCAATCCATCTGCCTTCATTCATTTAGCAACCCTAAACATTTTATGTGCCCCCAACCATGGAGGAATGCATTGTTCACAGGAAGGGGAAAAAAAAGCTACCTTTAGCAAGCATTTCCCTTAAGTTGTAACTGTTTCTTCAGTGTTGCTACTTTTAATAAGAAAATTGTTTCTAAGCATGCTGGTAAGACCTTTGTAACACTTATTTTGCTGGACTATAACCTTGAGTGTCAAAACACCTCAGTATCTTTGGGAATTTTCACAGGATCATCACCTCTTCAAATGTCTCTGTAAGCCGCAGTTCTGCTGGCATTGCTCTCTGCTCAGTAATATGCCTCCCTAACTACTCCAGCTGTGGGAATGTGCTTCTCACGGGTACTGGCCCAGCCAAGCACAGAATTCTGCATCAGGGATCCCTGCTCTGGATCACATTTCGACCTGAATTCTCATCATCTAACCCTTGGACCACTTCATTGGACTCCACTGTGCACATTGAGAGCATTGCATAGTTAGCATGCAAGTTGTCTAGCATTGGTGCTAGGTGTCAGTCCTTAACCATCCTCGGAGACTGGATCACGATTCTAGTCGTACCTCAGTTCTCAGTTTCCATCTTCAGCTCAACACTTCAGCAGTCCAGGTCTTGGAATATCCTTCTGCAGACATGGCTTCTAAGTGATAGTCTACTTTCTAAGCCTTCCTTCATGACCTGAGGAAAAGCAAATAGAGTTAACTTGTCTACATCAAGACCTCTGCAGAGAATTTCTCTATGTATTCGTGGAGCATGTTAGACCTGGTGCCTCGTTGGTGAAAGTCGTCAAGGATTGGTTCATCAGAAATAACCTGGCCATAGTCAACTATATTTCAGTTTTTTAAAAAAGAAAAGAAAAAGCCTAACTGCAGACAAGTTTCTTACGTGGCCTGAGGTGATTTCTATGTATCCACAGTGTTAATTCCTTTAATAACTGCTTGCTTCTTGGGTCTGAGACTGCCCTAGCTCTAGGTGGGCTGTGATTACCTGTGCACTAACACTTAAGATCCGTCAGTTCTCAGCAAGTGCCACCTCTCTACCAGCAGAAGAGTTGCATTTGTGTTTGAGAAAATTATCAGTGCGCTTCCTAGGGAGAAGCATGGGCACTTAACAAAATTTGGATCTGTAAGGTGCAATAGCTTGTTGCACCCGTTAGCCTTCCTGCACCCAGTTACAAAATTCTCTACAAGTCTGTTGTCTCTGACGGTAGCATGGAGCTCCTGGTGGGGGATCAACATCACACAGCAGCCAGCCATTTAGAGAATGGTATTTGTGGACACTATCTGTGACAGAACAGAAATACAAAGAGCTGCTGGATTTTTTTTTTTCAGGAGAAAGAAGGCTGGCTTTCCAAGGAAAATATTCCAGTGAACAGAAAGAAAAAAGGAGAAGCTGACAAAGAAAAGGACAGAGGCCTTCCTCCCTGACCTTCTGAACAGCCAAGGCCAAAGAACACCATCCTGGGCTTGAGGCTGTCTCTAGCCAAAGAGAGGCTCAGAGTCCATCAGTTGTCCAAGAACTCTCAAATGCCTAGTGCTCCTCAGGAAGAGAAGCACTTCTACCAGGAGCATATCACTTGCCATCTGAGCCATGGTCTTTTCCTTCATCCCTCCCTCCTCACCTCTCGGATGTTTGCAAATGGTGTGACTACCATTTCTCTCAAGGCAAAAGAGCATTTGGCTTTGCCCCTCCTGCTGAATAGATGAGGAATTTGCAACAGAATTTTAATGATGTTTATCAATTGCTTTCAGTTTGTGGACTCTGGTTCTGAAGTTTTAACTGTTCAGTTTCTTTTTAGCTTCTGGTGACCTAGTACCTGAGGGTACAGTGCATTGGTCTCCAGTTAAACAACTTTGGTACCATGGGATGATATAGTAAACTTCATTCTCCAGAAACTTGCTTCTAACCCACTTGTTATTTGAGGCCAAGCATCTTGTTCAGCAGGCTTCATCCTTGCGGCACTCTGAATCCTGCACACTGTACCACCTTTTTGTTGTCTGGTTCTTATTTTGAGAAAGATGTTGGGGCCAACACCAGGATCCCTTTTGTTTTGGGGAGGTCTTTGGCTCCTAAAGGGTTGTTCTGTTTTTGTTTTTGTCTCCAGAAGAAAAGCAGTCTGCCGTACTGCTTGTCTTTTGGAGAAAGGAAAGAAAGCTTTCCCTTTTCTTTTTAGAGCCTTGCTATTCCTCTCTGTCCCTGCTTCTGCTACTTCTTTGGTTCTTCTTCCCCTTGTGAATATTGTCTCTTCTACATTTTTACCTAGAAGGTAATTAAGGGGGAATTTGTAGTTTTGTTGCACATAGACTTGCAGATTGACTGCTTGCCTTCTCAAACTAGAAGCATGAACCTAGACTTTGGGAATCTAGGGTATTGTGGTCAACCTCCAGGAATAAACTCTCGACAGGTGAGTAAGGTATTTCAGTGGATTCAAAAGAATGAGAACCGGATGTGGCATTTGTAATCATCCTAAGGCTGTGAATAGTGCCATGATGTGGTGGTGTTATCCCTGTCCCCACCCTCCACCCCGTTTTCTCCAGCCTACGGCTTTGTGTGTGGTCTGTGGTCTGTCAGGTTCATGATCTCTTTCAGCCTTGATTGCCAAAGAGCATTTGAAATCTGATTCCACCTCTAATGACTTTTTTCTGACTGCTCCCCAAGGCAGGTTTATCTGCCGATCATTAATCCAGAAATATTTTACAGTTGTCCCTTCCCATTGGATCCTGGGTATTTGCCGACAATATACACTATATCAGATGTTACATGTGTTAGAAGGGTTACATGACATAATAAAAGTTGAAGTAAGAATCTTGGTTACTTTGCACTTTGTTCTAGTAGGAAAACTCTTTAGCCATCCTCATTTAAATTCTCTGATCTCCCATATGTTTGCTCCCACCGATCAAGAGTACTTGTGAGCCTTAAAACATATGACAAGGACTTTTCATAGAAACAAAGTTGGCATTTAAATTGTTTTTGCTGTGACCATGTGGATGAAGTGAAAATGAGGTTTTCTTCCAAGCTGAGGGCATCATGATGAATGTCTATGTAATCATGGTAGGTGACAAAAATATGAGGAAGACATGATGCCTACTCTTGAGAGGCTTACAGTCTAGTTGAAAAACTCAGTTTATTAAACATTTACTGAACTCTCTGCTGTGTCCTGTGGATACAAAGCATTCAAGTGAGCTTACTGTTTGGTAGGGAAGCCATTGCAAACACATAACTACAGAACAGTGTGATAAGTGCAGCAATAGAAATATATGTGCAGAGCAAGACTCATTTAACAGGTTCATGGAGCATCTGCTCTATGCCAGACAATATAAGCCTATGTAGTGGCTTTATCATGGAGTCAAACTGACAGTCGTTGTCTTCATGGACTTGCAGTCTAGTAGGGCTGACAGGCGTTAAACAAGTAAATTGATATGTGACATCAAATTGTGATAAATAACATGAGTGAAACAGTGCTATGAGAGAAGGTGGCCAAAATTTAGGGACCAAAGTTGTTTTGTTTTGGGGGTGGGGGAGCAAAGTTTTAAACTAACAGAATCATGGAGTAAGGGATGGTTAAGCCTGAGACCTGGAAAAAGGAGTGTGGAGTGGTTCCTCCTGCACAATGAAAGGCGTTGGGAAAAACCTTGACTCGTTACAGCTGAAAAGTCAATATGGTAAGAAAGACGCAGACTAGGGAGGGGGCGGAATAAGTTTGGAGGAAACAAGAGCTGAGGCAAGGCAGAATCTTATTAGCCTCAGTAGAGATTTTGGACTGAATTCTAAATACTATGGGAAACCAGCGAAGGGCTTTACATATTTAAAAGATGGTTCTAGAGTAATCTAAAAGAAGATTGGGAAACAGGCAAGAGCAGAAATGGGGAGACTACTTTAGAAGGCTCTGCTGTGGTTTTGGGGAAAGGTGGTTTGGGGTTGGCCTTCAGTGGTTCCAATGGAGATAAAGAAACATGGGCAGAATGGATATCAATTTCAGAGAAAGAGTGAACAGATTTTGGAAATGTCATTGGAAGAGTGGATAGATAGGGCTTTAAAGAAAGGATGACATCTGGTTTCCTGGCTTGAGCAACTGAGTAGATAGATGTGCCGTTTATTGAGATGAAAATGACTGGGGGAGGGCCCTCTTTGCTGGAAAAGATCAAAAGTTCAGGGCAGGTTTTACGGAGGAGGTAATCCTTAAAGCGGGTCTTACAAGGAGACATTGTAAAAAGGTAGATAGATCTAGATGAGTAATAGAAATAGTAAGTGCTCTAAGAGTTTAGCAGGAGAGATTAGCAGTTACTCCAGAGATAGAGAATTTTTTTTGGAAGACAGGGGACATGAACTTGGCTTTGAGCATTGGGTGATACTTGAGTTAGTGCAGGAAAATCATTCCACGATGAAAAGCCATATGAACAGAAATACTGAGTTAAGCCATAAGAACATGTGAATTAAGTCATAAGAACAGCTTAAGTAGAACTAAGGAAGTTGGATCAGGAAATGAGGAAGAAATAATAAATGGAAAGGGGCCAAATTTGTTAGGGAAGAGTGCCCAGAAGCGTGATAGCCAAGCTGCAGTTGGTAACAGGTGGAAATCGATGGTTTGTGTAGTATTTGCTGAAAGAATTGAAATCTGGAAGGTTGGATTTTGGTTTTGTATCTTAAAAATTCTTGGGGGTGCCAGCATAGAAAAAGGGTTTGGATTGAATTTAAAAGTCCAATGGGAATGAACAAGAAAAGCAAAGAGTATTCAAGTGACTTGATAGGGAAGAAAAATCAAAGTTAACTCTCAAGAACTTAAACCTTGGTAACTGGGAAGATGATTTTTGGCAAAAGTGAAAAGGTCTGCGCCTGAGTGGGTTGAATAAGAAGTTTAATTTTAAATATGTTGAGAATGAGTTCCCAGTGGGGTAGACTGTCGCATGGAGAATATTGAATCAGATCAAGCTGAACACCTGTGACTTCAAACACTGTTTTGTTTTTAAACAAAGAATACCTAGACCAGAAGGAACCAGGTTCTATATAAACTTTAGACTAAGAGAGACCACTACTCATATGTTAAGAAGATAGAGTGTTCCTGTACTTGACTGTGTGTCTTGTATTGTACTTCTCTTTCTTCTTTCCCCTTTATTCGATTGATCCTGCTCAATGTTTTTTTTAAGTAATGTTTTCTGTACTTTTAAGGATAACTCCTTGGATCACCATTACTTTGTATAAGATTGTGCCAACCTTGTACGAGATTGTGTCTTTTGTTCATTTTTCCTTCATGAGTCTTGCCCCTTATTATGACCACCCCCCAACCCAGCAACTATTCTCCCCTTTTAAAATCTCTTTCAAACAAGTTTGGTGGGAAGAAATGAATGAGGGAAGATCCTTTCAGTTTGAAAACCTGTTGAGATAGAGATGATAGTTTGACATGTATACAGAATATTGAATTACCCCCCAAAATCTGATAAACACTATGACCCCAGTCAAAACCCTTGGCTGTGGATCATACATTCTTCCTTGACTATCCTAATCTTTGGAGATTCTAAAACCTGCTAGTCTTTATTTGCTGACCAGATGGGTGACTGTCCTCAAAATTGTAATCTTATTCCTCACTGACTGCTGTGTTTTAGAGAAAAATGTTTGGAGGGTGGGGGCTTTCTCCAGTAAAGAGCCCAAGGGTCAACTCCTTCAGTTCCTTTGTCTTAGCATCTTCTTGCCCCCTCCCACAGAGATCCATATGGCTTTGGAGATAGTCGAGATACAAGACGTGATCGATCGCCCATTCGAGGAAGTCCAAGAAGAGAGCCCAGGGACGGCAGAAATGGCCGGGATGCTCGAGATGGCAGAGACATGCGAGACCCCCGAGATTTGCGGGACCACAGAGATACCAGAGACATTCGGGATCACCGAGACAGCAGAAGTATGCGTGATGCTCGGGACATGAGGGATCTTAGAGACTTTCGTGACCTGAGAGAAACTAGGAATTTTCGAGATCACCGAGATCCCATGTACGATAGATACAGAGAGATGAGAGAGTCCCGAGATCCCATGTACAGGTAACCTCTGCAGCCGTTCTGCTTGCTGGGTTTTTTGTTTGTTTGTTTTTGGTAGCAGTCTTTTTTATGTTTGTTCTGCTGAACTAATTGAAAACTCTACAGCAGTGCCTTTCTTAGTCCTTTGTTTCCAGTGTCTATCACCATGAGAGATGTGCTGCTTAATAAATATTTGCTGAATATGTGATTGAAGATGGATTTTACTTAATGAATGAATCTGGGTCTCTTCCTGTTGGCTGTGAATGGCACCATTGTGCAAATGGAAAAAAACATGGGAGTGCAAATTGTTTTAGCCATGCAGGACCACAGGGTAGATGTACAAATGGCCAATAAATATGTGAAAAGATACTTGACATCCTTAGTTAGCAGAGAAATGCAAATCAAAGCCACAATGAGATAGCACTTCATACTTACTAGGATGAAGGCTTTATTAGTTTTCTTTTTTTTTAAGTGTTGGTGAAGTGTAGAGGAACTAGAACCCTCATACATTGCTGGTAGGAATGCAAAGTAGTATGACCGCTGTGAAAAAGTTTGGTGGTCCCTCAGAAAGTTAAGTGTGGTAGAATTAATGATCCACCAGCTCCACTCTTGACTATATATCCAAAAGAATTGAAAAGAGGAACTCACATAGATGGGTGTGACTGTACATAGCAACACTATTCACAGTAGCCAAAAGGTAGACACCACTCAAATGTCCATCAATAGATGGATTAAAAAGTATGATATATCCATACAGTATATTATTCAGCCATAAAAAGAAAGGTCATGTTTATACCTGCTAAGCCTTGATAGACCTTAGAAAATATGCTACATGAGATAAATATTATGCTCCATTGTCACAGAAGACAAATATTATGTTTTCACTTATATGAAATATTTAGAAAAGGCAAATTCATAGAAAGTAGATTAGAAGTAACAGAGATTGGGGGTGAGTTTCTGTTCAGATTGTTCAGGATGATGAAAATTAGTTTATATATGTATACTTTTTTTATTCTATTTTTTAACCACAATTTTTAAAAAGCACAAGGAAGGAGGCTTGGGGTAGGGCCTAGAATGGTTATTCAAAACTAATATCAATAATTACTACCAGTTATTTCGTGTTTACTTTGGGCCAGGGAGCTTACATTATTCTGAGAGCGTTCTGTACACCCTTCCAGTCCTTTTGGAAGGTAGGTTAACTCAGTCCCAGCCACAGAGCTGATGAGCAGTGAGTCCCAGATAGTAATTTTCTTTCCTAATCCCAAAGTTCTGTGCCTTACTATGTCATCCTCACAGACAGCTGAGTCTTGAAGAATTCTCTGTATTTTATTTTTGCAGGATAAAACCTTTAATTTTGTGCACATTTCTTTACCTTTTCAGGAGAGAAGGATCTTATGACCGATACCTGCGAATGGATGACTACTGCAGGAGGAAAGATGATGCTTACTTTGACCGTTACAGAGATAGCTTTGATGGACGAGGCCCTCCAGGCCCAGAAAGTCAGTCTCGTGCAAAAGGTAAAGTAGAAAAAACAGTTTATTCTTATCACAAATAGAACACTTTACAAAAGAAAGAGGAAACTAATAACCAGCTGGAAAGGAGCTAATGACTTGGCTAAGCAATTCACAAAAAGAAGAAATACAAATGGCCTGTTCATTTGTAGAGAGCATTCAGCTTGAAAATCATTTTTAAAATGCAAAGTAGTACTGTCATCTGGTTTAGTCACCCAACGAGAAGAAATAAATATGAAATACTATCAATAAGAAAAGAAATGAACTAAAGATTGGAGCTGAAGAGGTTAAGTGTTTGCTTTTTGCTCACTGCCCAAATAAATATAGCTGTCTGCATTACCTGTGTCGTATGTGGGGAAAGTTGTTTTATTTATAATTTTTACCTAAGAGCATCTACTTTTTAGATAAAGACATGTTTTTTTAAAGCCTTGATTTTCTCAGTATATTTAATACATCTTTAAGATTTTTAAGTTGTCTTATTCCTGGTCAAGTTAAGAGCCCCATTTTTAGTTTGTTACAGAACTTATACTTTACTGCCTGGTTTTGTTTGGGATTTTTTGTTGTGGGTTTTTTTTTTATTACCTGATTTTTTTTTTAAGCAAATTACAATTACTTGTCAATAAGAATCTTAAATGGTTGTCCCAAAAATGAAAATTAGGATAATAATGAGATACTATCTTTTGCCTATCGATTGGCAGGTTTTGTTTGTTTTTTTTTTAATGACAAAACTCAGTGTTGACCAAGATATGGAGAAATAGCACTAGGTGATCCACCCCAAAGAAAGGATGAGTTAGTAATATCCTTTCCTAGAGGACATTCTGGTAGCATGTGTCAGATTAAAGCAGACATGCCCTGTAATCCATTCATTCCATTTTAATGAACTTATAATAGTAAAAAAATAAAAAATTTTTTAGGAGGTAGTCTAGAGGATTACTTCAGAGGAGATGCGTATATTACAGCCTTTGCCTACAAGTAGTTCAGGATTGAAAATAAGGTCTGTGACTTATTTTTATAGAAAGGCACGGTCCATGTTTCAGTTTTCCCTGGTGTCATCCTGCAGAGCGTCTGAAACGTGAGGAACGTCGTAGAGAAGAGCTCTATCGTCAGTATTTTGAGGAAATCCAGAGACGCTTTGATGCCGAGAGGCCTGTTGATTGTTCTGTGATTGTGGTCAACAAGCAGACTAAGTAAGAACCCTTTGGATTTTCCCTGAGTGAGGAGAAGAAGCAGAAGAGAAATTAGAAATTTAGTCATCTTCTTGGCAGCTGTACCCACTGCCAGGCTGTGTACTCTGGCATTGCTCTACTGTGTTAACCAGAGTTCTTTCAGTTGTAGATGACAGAAAACCCACTGCAAACTGGCTTGAGCCCAAAGGGAAATTTTTAGTTTGCTTGACTGGGACGTTCAGGCATGGCTGCATTCAGGGTCAGCCTCTCATAATGACTTGGTCTCAGACAAGCTTTCTACTTGAAAAGACAGAACAGTGCTAGCTCTTGACATGAGGCATGAATCTCCTTATCTTAGCAATCCCGTGGAAAGAGAGCTGCTTTTTCCTGTTGCTTCCACCTGAAGTCCTGGAATTGTTTCCCATCCCTGGACTGTCACTTTGGCCAGCAGTGCTGGGATGCCCTGATTGGCCAGGGCTAGGTCATGTGCCCACCCATAGTGCTAAAAGTGGGATTAACCCCGTGGAACTGGTATAGACTGAGTGGTAAAGGGGTGCCTCCCCAAAGGAAAATCCAAGGGCATGTATGTTGGTCAGGCAAAGCAGTAGATGTCCCCATTGTGCGAGAACCCCGAGTCCCTAATACTTTGGAAGGCATGTCTCTGCATTCGTCAGCCAAGAAACCGGCTTTCTTTGTGAAGTGCCATGGCCTTGCAGAGCTGTTAGGTGACCGTGCTAGCCAAGCCAGAGCTCACAGCACTATTTTATTCTACCTCTGTTTCACATTCTTTTCTTGAATAAGCAGCTCAGAGGTGCAGAAGGGAGTGTAGCAGCTTGCAAGTTTGGCAGTAGCTATGTTCCCTTTCCCCAAGTGGTTAGTAAATAACTTCATGTATTTTCTAGCAGTTTGGGGTTAAAGAGCTAATTTTCAAGGCAGAAGCTAGGGAAATAGGTGTTGAGACACCAAACAGCAGGCAGAGTTCACAGGCTCTGGACTGCCTTGTTTAGAAATAGATACTGCTTTAACTTGCAGATAACTTTTTTGCCTTTTTATTTTTAAATGCATCATGATAGCTGTCTTTTTCTGAGCACCTACTCTGTACTACTCCATGCTAAGCACTTTAAATTATTTTTCTAATCTTCATAGTAATCATGTTTCATGTGTATTCATTCATCAAATTTTTTCTGTGTGTGGCAGGTGCTAGGTCCTGAAGCTGTAATGCTAATGAGCAAAACACACATGGCCCCTTTCTCTTGTGGAGCTTATACCCTAGTTGGACAGATGACAAAAATAAATGTATTGGTGATGAGTCTTATGAGAAGAAATGTTTCAAGGATCTGATTTAGATTGGAGAGAAAGTTAAGGAAATGACATATGAGCTGAGCCATATTATTCCTGTCTGATTGGTAAAGAAACTGAGGTTTGTAAGATGTAAAGGGATTTGCTTAAAGCTTCAACTTTGCAAGTAAATGTTAGGGCTAAGATCTAAGCCTGTCTCTAACATTTAAAACCCATGCTTTTCCCCCTATGGTGTACAGCCTCTGCCAAGACAGAAATGTGCTGCAAGTCTTAGGCAACAGGATGGTGTTTAGGAATGACCATCAGACCAGAGAATCAAGAGAAGAGCCTGGGCTACTAAGTACTGTTCCATTGGGAGCTTCTGAGCCAATATAAAGAGAAGGAGTTGGTTTAGATTCTTGGAGCCTGAAGAGGGTGCTAGGGAGACACTGGTAGAGCTAGGATTTGAAGTCTTCTGGCTGAGGTGCCACTGTGCAGATTGGGAGTTGATCAGGGAGTATTCAACTGGATCCTGTTTGTTTCTACAGAGATTATGCTGAATCTGTGGGGCGGAAGGTCCGAGACCTAGGCATGGTAGTAGATTTGATCTTCCTCAACACGGAAGTATCACTGTCACAAGCCTTGGAGGATGTTAGCAGGGGAGGGTCTCCCTTTGCTATTGTCATCACCCAGCAACACCAGATTCACCGCTCCTGTACAGTCAACATCATGTTTGGAACCCCTCAAGGTATGGAGGCCCCAGTGGGTTAGAATTCCAGAAACTTACAGATACTAGTTCATTAATTTTTTTATGGCTTACTCAAGAAGCAGAAGGTTTTAGGTAAAGGTATTTCAGCTCAAATGTGGTAGGGCCCTTTTATAAGTGCATGGCAGAAACTTGCATAGTCATTTATTTGTTTGATCTTCTTTCATTGGATACAGTTTTGGGCCTGCTGTGTATGACATTACATTCAGCCCTTAGGTATGTGCAGTGATGTGTTGGCAAATGTTTAACAGCCAGTTCTGGGGTGGGGACGGCGTGGTTTATAGAATTTGCTGATTTCCATGGTGTAAATACTCCCACTGTGTTCTATTTCATGCCACCAACATGAAGTCACTTCAGGGCAAGTTGGGAAGAGAGGTGCACAGTCTGCTCACCCCAGCGAGAGCCAGCTCCAGCACCACTCTGGCACACACTGCACTGAGCACGGTGGAGCCCCTCTTTCACCTCACTTTGGGATGAGGCACAAAGCATGTGCCAGGCAGTTAGGAGACTCTTTGTTAGTGTGCTGGAGAAGTCAGTGGAGGGACTTTGAGAAGAGGGAGGCAGCCTTGACCTCCTGGAGGCCCAGGGGAGGTTTCCCGAAGTCCTTCCCTGAAGTAACTTAGTCTTTTGCCCCCAGATTGTTAAGACTCAGTCAACTGCTGCCTTGCGGATTGCTCTCACAGCATAGACTTTTCCCTTCTTCCACCACCGTGGGCCCTCTATTTGCCTGACCAGTTTTACCCATTAGCATAGAGTGTAGAAGCCTCTCCAGTAGGTCATTCACCTCTCTGAGGAGCAGTCCTCAAGATGTGTGAAGACATTTATATCAAGTGCCAAGAAGTTTTCTCACCACCTTATAAATCTTGTTGCCCAGGGGTGAGGGGAGGAGGTTATTTAGGGTCATAATTTGATCTTAATCCATAATCTTTGAACTGATACATTAACAAACAACTCTATCCTGAGGAGCGCGGTGGAAAGCCAGGCTTTACAGAAGGGCTGTTTGGACCCCCATGGCCTGCCTCCTGTGGTTATACTCCACATGGTCTTTTTGAATCTGTGAGAGACTGTCGTGTTTCTCTGGTTCTTACTACATGTCTGTGATCTAAGAATTCCCCACAGAACTAGCTCTCTACAAGGGTGTCTGTTTCCCACTGAAGAAACCCATTCTCTGTCTTCCCAGCTGCATCCCCTCCCTCTCACCTCTCCCCATCCCCATTCCAAGGCCTTTTGTCAGTGAAATGGTTTTCTTGCTTGTTTGAGGGAAAAGCAAGACAGGGAGATGCCACTTAAGGAGGAAAGGAAAGGCTTGGTAGAGTTCAGCAGGTGGGCACTGAAATCTGTCATGGGAGAAAATAACTCATGTCATTCCCTCCTACAGAGCATCGCAACATGCCCCAGGCAGACGCCATGGTGCTGGTGGCCAGAAATTATGAGCGCTATAAGAATGAGTGCCGGGAGAAGGAGCGCGAAGAGATTGCCAGACAGGCGGCCAAGATGGCTGATGAAGCCATCCTCCAGGAAAGAGAGCGAGGAGGCCCTGAGGAAGGGATGCGTGGGGGGCACCCTCCAGCCATCCAAAGCCTCATCAACCTGCTGGCCGACAACAGGTACCTCACTGCTGAAGAGACTGACAAGATCATCAACTACCTTCGAGAGAGGAAGGAGCGGCTTATGAGGAGCAGCGCCGACTCTCTGCCTGGTGAGCTACGTGGCAGGGCCGAGGTGAAGTTCTGACTCTGCATTTCTCTACCCCCAGGCTCTGTTGGGAGGGTGGCAGGCCCAGGGGTCTTTGGGGTGCATAAGGGAATGAGCCCATCCCATGGGTTTTCCCGCATGGGCCATCTGTGCTGGTGTAATAATGGTAACTTAAGATTTGGATACTGAATTCTGATCCCTGTAGTTAATGTGGTGGGTGGGCTAGTATGGCTGACTCCCTGGGAACCAAGATGGATGCCCTTTTTTTTAAAGTAGTCCTCTGGCGGAACTAAACTGTTTACTGAAAACAGCACATATTATGAAGTGGCCCCTTTGGGAAATCAATGTTATAATCTGTGTACTGTGTGATTGATGTAATCAGTGATTGTTGTTCTTCCCTGGGCTGCTAAGCCTCCTGCCCATGGAGGGTAATTTTTAACCAGTTACCTCCTCTTTCTGTCTTCTAGGCCCGATTTCCCGTCAACCACTCGGGGCGACCTCGGGTGCCTCACTGAAGACACAGCCAAGCTCTCAACCGCTCCAGAGTGGCCAAGTGCTCCCGTCTGCTACACCCACTCCAGCTGCACCCCCCACCTCCCAGCAAGAGCTTCAGGCCAAAATCCTCAGCCTCTTCAATAGTGGCACGGTTGCGGCCAATAGCAGCTCTGCATCCCCCTCAGTTGCTGCCGGAAACACCCAGAACCAGAATTTTTCCACAGCAGCGAACAGCCAGCCTCAGCAAAGATCACAGGCCTCTGGCAATCAGCCTCCAAGCATTTTGGGACAGGCAGGATCTGCTCGGAACATGGGCCCCAGGCCTGGGGCTCCTTCCCAAGGGCTCTTTGGCCAGCCTTCCACCCTCCTGGCACCCGGCAGCAACTTGGCTAGCCAGAGGCCCGTGTCTTCCACAAGTATCAACTTTGACAATCCAAGCGTACAGAAAGCTCTGGACACCCTGATCCAGAGTGGCCCTGCTCTCTCCCACCTGGTTAGCCAGACCACAGCACAGGTGGGGCAGCCGCAGGCCCCCATGGGATCGTACCAGAGGCATTACTGAGGCTAAATCTCAACTTCCCCCAGGCCCCTCTTCCCCTGGCCTCCTACCTGTTGCGTTCTAAGTAGAGTTACTTGGAAAATGTTCTCTGCGCATATCCAGGTCCACATCGAATGTCATAAGTTTCTACCACCTGCTCTCTTCTGCCCAAGGCGGTTGTTACTTATTCCTTCCAGAGTCAGAGTTTGTACTGCCTTGGAGGTGTATTTTTTGTTGTTGGGGTTATTTTTTTTTCTTTCTTTTTTTCTTTTTTTTTGATAGAAAATAAATATCTCTGGGGTCATGGGCAGTATAGGTGTCTGGGCTCCGTTTGTATTTCATTTGTCTCTGTCAGCTCGATGTGGGGGCAGAGGAGGAGAAGCAGCCAGGCCCCTGCTGGCTGCGTGTGGGGTGGTCCTTCCATTGCAAGAGCCACTGCCTTTGTTCGTTTTGAGCCTCCCCAGGCTTTCTGGCCCCACGCAGGCCCACCTGAGCACGAGCTCCCGCCTGCGTCCCTGTGTAGGGTGGTAGAGCGCAGGCTGGGCCTGGTGGGCACGGCGCCAGCGCGCCCCGTCCCGCATGTGTGGGGGCGGTCTGAGGGCTGCTAAGCAGGCTGCTCTGGAGTTGGAGAGGGGCCATGGCAGGCACTTTTCTGCCTGACCCAGAGTAGTTGGTTCTTGGTTTTTCTTTTTTCTTTTTTCCTTTGTGGCTTTCATTGCAATGGAAGATTTTCCATGGACTGAACAGCACTGGTCACCAGCAGTTTAACCCAAACTGTGAATCTGGGCCCCAACCACTCTTAACCCTTTAACATTTGTCAGCCTCTTCCTCACCAGTGGTAGTTTCATGGAGTTGGCTCTGAGAAGACTGCTCTAGACTCTGGCATTGAACACCTGTTTTTTCAGTGATTGCTTTGAGCTTTTGGCCCAGAAATCAGGCTCTTGTTCTGTTTTCTGAGCAGCAGGAGGTAGGGACCATTTTGATGTCAGACTTTTGGTAGCCAGACATGTTCTTGATGCAGGAGGCTGTTCAAAACTTTTGAGCCAGAGTGAAGTTAGTAGAGGGAGGACCTCTGCCTGCTGCTCTAAGTGGAGCCAAAGGAAGCTGCCTTCTCCCTAGGGATGGTGCTCCTTAGAGCCTTGTGGATCAGCCTCAAGGGACCCCTGGCGGAGACATGGGAGAGCAGTGACTTCAGCTGAGTCCTTGCCAGTAGCTGAGTAAATATTGGTTTCCAAAACTCAAGGTCCCCAGATGGCAGTGTTTTATGTTCTGACCTGTTTGTGTTATATAGTGGTTTTTTTTTTCCTCTTTGAAACTCCTGTGTTGTTAATAAGATGAAATGATTACTTTTTAATTAAAATGGAAAAGTGAAAGCTGTGTCGTCTGTGTTTGGGTGAGAATCCCCGTGGGGCCTCTCTGTGGCATTTTTTTCCAGAGTTTGTAGGGGAGGCTCCCTGACAGCACTGACTGCTTTCAGTCTGCCGTGAGGTCTGCCCGATCTTGTCCTCAGCCTGCAGTCAGGCCTCAAAACCTCTTAACCTAGCTTCTCTCCTACAGCTCCCCTAGTTAGAAGCTTTCACCACAGTGTGGAGTAAAAGCCTGCTGGGTGGTTACAGTGGTGTGTAAGCATCCTCGTTTGTGGCAGACTGAGTGTGTCAGGCGTGTCCGCTTATTCTAACGAAAACAGAATGACGAGGAGGCCATTTCTCGCCAAAAGGCAGTGGAGAGAGGGGTGCCCTCCTGTTCTGATTTTGTCTCAGTTGCCAGCTCATTATGCAAGGGGTTGGCAGAACCAGCATCCCAGGTGGGGGCGCTGGAGGGCATTTCATGGAGCGCCCCACCAAGAAACGGGGTGGGTGCGGTGAAGTGACTGGCACAAGGCCGCCAGTAGATTAGGGATGAAGACACCGACAGCGCCCAGCCTGAACTGGAGGTGCTCACTATCAGATGTTTGACAGGGCTCCGGAACTCTCAGGACACAAACCAGGCAGCCAGACCTGAAGGGTCAACCCAGCCAACTCTTCTGTCGGTGGCGGTCGGTGTTTCTGATGAAGAGTCTGGGATCCTTGCGGGGGCCCACTTCGAATATCCCTCTCCCCACCTACTAGTTCTTCTCCCTGGAGTGTCCAAACAGCACACCTCAGGCTGTGAAGGGTATAATAAAATTATTTTTATTGCATTTTGTGCAGACGGGAGTCTAAAAAATTAATACAGTAAAAGCTATAAAGCATTAAATGGGAGCATTCAACAATAAAGGAAAGAACCAACCCTCTCCTTTTCATCTTGGCACAAAGAACACGAGATCAATACTGAGGCAGAATGCGAAATACTGAAACACTGAAAATTAAAGGCAGGCCTAGTAATAGTAGTAAGTACTCTGGATTTGGTTTGCAACCTCTCTTATTTACAAGGGTTTTTCAACTTCATTGCATTGCCCTGCACATAGATCGTCTAAAACAAAAGCAACACTAGTTATCACTACAAGGCTATTGAAATATTGCACTCAGAATAAAAGTCACTTGAATGGACATGAAACATCTAGCTACATGATTATAAAGATAAGTTGATGAGTGACGGGTGATAACATTCATAACAAATATTGCACATGTAGCACAGAAAACTTGGGGTTTTGTTGTGGGATGTCTGTTTTCATCAATGGAAACTTTGCTCTTGCCAACCAGACAGCCTGGGCCCAGATAGTGCAGCTTTGGTTCCCTAAGTGGTGTTAATACAGCCGCCTTTCGGTTCTGCCTAGCCCACCGCTTCAGCCTGGGCGTGCTAGGCCCCCAGAAGGCTAGGCCCGGCTGCGGTTCTCAGAGGAAGGTCTTGGAGGGTGGGCTGGGGAGTGCTGGTGTCTCATACCTCCAACTTCTGATTCCTAACCGGAGAAATCTACCCAGCCCCCTGACCAAACTTCCGAGAGGCCTTGGTCTAACCGCAGGCGTCCAAACCTCCTCCAGCCACACCTGACCCAGTCTAGATGGCACCAGCGCCAGCTCTGCCTTGGGCTCAAAGGAAAGGAGGTGGTGAGGTCAGGAGTACCCAGAAGCCTCAGCTCTGGGAGGTGGACGGGATGTCTAACTAGGTGCAGTCAGGGCCCTGGGGCTGGAGTTACTGTGCCCAGCCCCAGAGGGCGCTGGAACGAGCATGCAGTGCATGTCCCCCTTAGTAACGTGCCCTGGGGGAAGGGAACCTGGCCAACGGGGTTTCTCTAAGGGAAGAGGGCACCTCCGGCCAGGCTGGCGGAGCAGAAGCGCCAGGGACTGGTGTTGGAGAAGCCAAAGGCCTTGGGCCCTAGTTGGAGGCGGGCAGAGAGGCGCTTAAGAACTAAGCAAGTGCCGACTCCAGCCCTCCCCCAGGCCCGGGTGCCTGGGAGACGCAGCTAGAGGCCGCTGCTAGGCAGCGAGGCCCGGCCCCCAGACGCGAAGGAGGCTGTCTCCGAGGCCGGAGTTGCCGGATGGGAACAGGGTAGGAAATATCAGGGGCAGCGCTAGGGCCACCCCGGTGGATCCGGCCCCAAACCCTGAACCGTCCCCTCCTCCCTCACCTGTCCCAGGGAGGAAACTCCGGGGGAGGGGACGCCCTCCAACCCCCCTATTTCAGTCTTTGGCGAAGAGCCACGGGATAGGGGGAGCAGGCGACAAGCCGGTGGAGGAGAGACGCCTGCTCCCCCAGCGAAGGCACCGGGACGGGGCTTCCTGGGGGCGGGGGCGAGGGCCTCTCTCGGTTCCTCTGACTTGAGGAACGCCCCTCCCCTCTCCTGGCCCCAGCTTGCATAAAGAGCCGATAAGAAGAGGCTGCGCGCGTGTCTGCAGCCACAGTGGAAGCTCACATTCGCTGGGAGGCGAATCCAGGGAAAGTTGGGACACTTGTCTCACTTCGTCTCCGAAAAGATCTAGAAGGAAGAAGGGTCGGAAGCCAAGGGCGCGCGGAAAGGGTGAGGAGGCGTCGAGGGAGTGGGTGGTCGAGGGACCACGAGTCCCGCCTGGGCCTAAAAGCACTTTTGCTCTCAAACGCTCGGACGTCAAGGAAAACCCAGCCTCCCGAGGCCCCCGCCTTCCCTGGGCGCGCCCCCAGCGGGAGAACGCGACTGCGGCGAGAAGAGAAGTCCGTTGCGCTTCTAAGTCACAGAAATATGGGGACGTTAAAAATACACGCGATGTCTCCTGTACACTATGTATACGCTCGGCCGGCTCGCGCCCGCGGCCACGGCCGCGCGAAAAAGTAGAACGCAGACGGCGGGGCGCATCCTCGCCACCCCAGGCCGCCGGGGGAGGGACGCAGAGTGCGGGCGGGGCGGGGCGGGGCGCGGGAAGAGAGGGAAGGGGCCGGGCGGACGACCGAGGGAGTCCTCGAAGCCCCAGGTCCGCTCCTTTCCGCAGCCTCCTCCGACCTTTATTGCAGCGTCTCCTCCGGCGTGGCGAGGCCGGGCTTAGAAAAAGGGCGGCCGGGGCCGACGCGCCAACGGGACTCTGATCTCCGGGCGGGGCGGTCTTCTCCGGGTCCGCCCCAGCCGACGTGGCCTCCGGGCTTCAGGCAGAGGGGAAAGGGGGCCAGGGCGCGGGCACAGGGTCTGTATGTAAACGGTGACAGAGGCAGGGGGCGCGGCGAGAGCTCCGGGGCCGCGGGCCGGACGCGCTCGGGCCCGGGTGTTTGGTCCTGGCTCTCAGGAGTAGATGGTGATGACCTCGCGGCCGCCGCCGCGGACCAGCATCACCCGGTCCAGGTGCTCGGTGAGAACCTCGAGGAATTCCATGTCTGAGCGCCCGTCAAGGAGAAAGACCGTCCCCTTTCCTGCCCCAAGGAATCAGGTTCCCGTTGGGCGCCCGCAGAACGCCGGGCTCGCGTCCCTGTCCTAGGTGCTGATTCTGAAGCGGACCCGGCCCATCCCTTCCTTCCCAGGGCTAGGACCTAAGTCCCCTGACGTCCAGCTCCCTCCTTCCCCCCGACTTTAAGCCCAGGATACAGTTTTCGTCGCCGTTGCGGTTTCGGGGAGGCCCAGGCATGTTGAGCAAAACAAGCTTGGCGCCCTGGGATTTCTGGACGATGACCTCGTTCAGCCGCACGGCTGTGTGCATGCGCCGCACGTTGGACTGGTTCCTGCGGGAGGAAGCCAGGGAGGAGGAGGGCACGTAAGGCTAGGAGAGAGGGGGACTTGGAGCCAGTCGCCCCTTCCAGCACCTCCCCCGCCCCCAGCACTGGGCTGCTGGGGTCTGCTCCTTGCAAGCCAGGGACCACCAACCCTAGGCCACTCCAAGCTGGGCTACTCAGAGACCCCAGAGGTCAGGGGTGCAAGTTGAGGGTTCATGGCAGAGTGAGAAGAGTAGGGAACCTGGCCAACCTAGGAGAGAATTTAAAAATTCTGAAGCACTTACAAGTTCTCCCACTCCCTTCAGGAAACATAAGAGAAGCAGAGAGAGGAAGAAAAAGGAGAGGGGTCAGAAAAAGCAGGAGAAGCTGAGGACTTGAGCCACTGTCAACACCCTGCGTGCAGACTAGTCCTGCGCTCCCAGCCCCCCAGCCTTCTTCACCTTTCCACTGCCTGCACCTGTGCGTTCTTACCCTTAGCAATCAAGCCCAACCTGAGTCTTCAGACGGGGCAACCAAGGAGAGGTCTGGGCTGGGCCTTCCGACTACCAGACCAGGACCCCTTCTGCTCATTTGCTTTCCACGGGGAGCAAAGACCCTGTAGGCTCACCCCAGACCCCAGCCCTTAGCCCCCAGGCCCATACGGCTTCATGCTGAAGAAGTCCTTGATGCCCTCAGAGGAGACAGGACTGGGGCCCTTGTTCTTCTCCGCCACGGACTTGTCCTTGGTCCAGGTGAGATGCACTTTTTCTGGATCTGCCTCGCCCTCCACCTCGGGCTCCTCCCCTGGAGACGGTGAGCTGCTGGGGCAGCTGGGAGCACTCTGGTCATGGATCAGCTGCACCTGAGGGATGAAAGAAGGCATGTGGTTCCTTTGGAGGCCAAAGGTTCTGCTCCCACTGGTTGCAGCCAAACCACCCGAGCTGCATACCTCCTCTTCCGGCTTCTCCTCACTGTCACCAGCTGTCTCTTCTGGGACGTTGAGACGGAGCCGTGTGTTGGCTGGATTCTTTCTCCGGATTGAGCCACGAGACTCATCTGTGATACTCTGGATCTAGGGAGGGACACAGGTTGGTGCCATGGAAATCACTACCCATGCCCTGCAAAGAGCTACCCCCAAAGCTGATGTTCAGCCAGGATGTGCACTTTCAGGACCTACCAGTTGTTAAAATACTGCGATGCTTCCACACCAAATAGCTATTGCCCCATGGATATGGCCACTCCAACTCCTCTCCAATACCCCTGGCCTTCCCACTCTCCAGCGACCAAAGGGTTGACACCTGGCCCAGCTGAGCTCTACCTTAGGGCCAGTTCTGACTGGTCGGTGCACATGCCACTTATGAAAATTGCACTGTCACCCACCTCTGAGAGCTCCTCTGTCCCCCGCCCCGAGGACCCCACTCACTGGGGTGGGGCTTTCATCCAAACACTGGAGGGCGGGTGGGCCCACGTTACCCACATGGGGGGATCTTACAGCCAGCCTTACCCCATGAGAGCTCATCACCGTTAGCCCTGAGAACACACCATCCACACCCTAGGAGGTCTGCCCCCAGCTCTCATCATCAGCTGTATCCTGAAATATCCACTCATTACTCACTCTCTAAGGGTCTATCACACGATACCTTGTCCCCCACACTGGCAGCCCACACCCCTGAGGAATCATCATCCATACACATTTAGCTTCCACTCTTCTCCCTTGGGCCCCAGAAGTCACGTCGAGAGTGGAAGATCTGTCACCCTCGCCAAAGCCCCTCTGCATCCTGGCTGGGAGGCTGGCGAGAGGCAGCTGCAGCGTGCAGCCTTGCTGCTGGGGAACCAGTGCCAGGAGGCGGCAGTGCCAGCAGCCAGGAGTGGGCCATCCCAAACCTGCGCAGCCCCAGAGCTGGCAGCAGCTTGAGACACTCCGATCCCAGCCAGGGCAACCTCACCTCCCGCTCCCGCTCGTTCTTGGTTAAATGCATTTGTTTGAGGATCTGGGAACGCTGCTCCATCACCAGGGTCTTCTCATAGGTGTAAGCGGAGATGTCACTCTCATGCTGTGGGCAGGCAGGGGTGGGACGGGGGAGAGGGGCAGGGAGGAGAGCATGAGCTCTGAGCTCAGGCACGAGGCCAAGAAGAGGGAGGCAGGCCCCCTTCCTGCTGCCAGCCTAGGGCTTCCCTGTCCAATGACCTAGGACAAAGCAGTGGGCAATGTTCTTTGAAGGCAAGGCAGCTCATTCCCTCCTCAGCCAAGCCTGGGACTGGGTGAATGAATGAATGAGTTGATTAATTAATTACCTGGGTGAATGGACAGCGGGAAGAAGTTTAAAAAGGAACACAGATGAATGAATACATGCACATATGAATGAATGGGTGAGTGAGTGAATAAATACATTAATGAATATATGGGCGGATTAATGAATATACCTAGGGGAATGGGTAAATGGTGCTGAGCGGAATGGACAGACGAGAGGCTTTAGAGTGTAACTGCTAGAAGCATGGACTCTAGAGCCAGTCTGCCTGAGTTTGAATCCTGGCTCTGCCACTTGGTGTACATTTGGGGCAAATTACTTAATGTTTCTGTGCCTCAACTTCCTAATCTGTAAAATGGAAACACTGATAATTGGATAACTGCATCTATTTCATTGATTGCTGTGAGAAGTAATGTATATATAAAGTGCATAGAACAGTGCCTCACATGTAGTCAGTGTTACTAGACATGTCTATTTTTATAAAAGAGACAAGGTAGGGTGGGTGAGTGGGTGGATGAATGGATGGGTGGAAGGGCTCTTGGGTGAACATATGAGAGGCTTGAAAGTGGATGGGGGTGCCCTGGTCAGGGGACTAGATCCCCCATGCCACAACTAAAAGTTCACAGGCTGTAACTAAAGATGCCACCCGCCACAAAAATCGACCTCAGGTACCACAACTGGGACCTAGCACAGTCAAAAGTTGATTAGGGGGTGGGGGCAGGACTCTAGCATCACAAACTAATGGGTACTGGGGTTCCCCTATTTGGTTCTGGGCCCAAGGGCAAAGAGGCCAGCGGGACTCCAAAACGTCAGAGGCAGCTCCTGGGGACTCACCATCTCCACTACCTCGACCTCTGCGGTGATACGTAAGTGGTACAGAAATGTGGTCAGGTCCTTCTTCATCTGGATGCTATTGTCGTCCATCTGGGCCACGGTGAAGATTCGCATCTTACACTTCCGCCAAACCTGGAGAGATGAAGGGGACCCAGAAAGGTCCAGTCCAGATGCCATGCGGAGACCCAAGGCCAGACCTCGTCCCTCACCCTTCCCACCTGGAAGGTGTTCCCACACATCCAGGTAGCCCACCAATGCTATATCTTGGCGGCCACTCCCTACAAAAATGCCCCTGCTTAGGTGAGGCTCCCCCCCCCCCCCCACTGAAGCATCACTCGCTTGAGTTAAACACGGCTCTCCTCTATAATTCAAGGACATCTGCCAGGGGAGCCACAGTCAGTCCCCAACACCTCAGAATAAAGGAGGCGACTGGAGCCCTCTCCCAGGGTCTCTCACGGAGGCAGGCCGGCGGGAGCCCGGGAGCCCCCAGCGCACGTGGCCACGAGCACGTGCACACGGGAGCGAGCGCGCGGTCACAAGCACGTGCACACGGGAGCGCGCGCATACCCGCACCTTGTGGTGCCGCAGCAGGAAGGGCAGCAGCATGAGCATGCCGCCGTCATGCACGATCCACCAGACGTCGATGCTGCCTTCAGAGAAGCGCTCGGGGTTCCCGGGAAACATGGAGACATTCTTGGTGACGAGCAGAGCCAGGTGACCGGCCGTGGTTTCCCGAACCAGCTCTGGGGGAGGCCAAGGAGATGGCAGACGGAAAAACAGTGACCCTGGTCCCCTCCCGGCACCCAGCACGCCTCCCCATCCTGCCTCCTGCCTCAGCCTTGGACTGAGAAGTCAGAAAAGCCCCATCTTCCTGGGCCTAGTTTGAACTTGGGGAAAAAAACAACCTCTCTGGGCCTCAGTTTCCCCACTGGTCAAATGGTAATAAGGACACCTGCCCTTTCTGATTAAGAAGGCGACCCTGCAGCGCTCACTTAATCCTCCCAGCTACCCTCTAACTGGGATCTACTGATAAAGCAGCCTCAGGGTTTACCAGCTGCCATGACCTTCATCTCCCCGTGCCTCAGTTTCACGCCACTAAAACAGAGACAGCCATGCCTGGCCCTCACAGGCCCGCTGAGAGAATTTGAGACTTAGAGAAAGCCGCCACTTGTCTGGCACACAGAATGCAGTCCGCTAAGTGTTAGTTACTGTATGACTTATTATCCGCTACTACCAAGGAATCTGATGCTCAGAGATGGGGAGGCACTTGTGAACAATCACACAGCAACGAAGGGCCAGAGGTTCGATTTAGACCCGCGCCTCAGTGATGATTTCAAAGCTGTAGGTCTTCCCACTGGCCTGCACTGCCTTCCCTGCAGGGTTGTGAGCTCTGCAAAGAGCCAAGTCTGTCTCCACACCTGAGTCCCTGGGCTCCCAGCACAGTGTCTGGCACCCAGCCAGCTTTGAACGCCATCACCTGCATATGCTGAATCCATACTTGTTATGCCTGGGAAGCGGTCCCCAGGCCCAAAGAAGGAGAACCCACCCTCACGCAGCCCCCCACCACTCCCAGCCCAGCCTGCTTTACCGATGAAGTTCCTCCACGTCTGATGGTCTTCCTTCTGTCGCCAGTTGCGGGGCCAGCCAACAAGCACAGTGTTGTGCTGAAGCCCGCCGAGGCCGCCGGACTGAATCAGGTGGGACACGCCATCTCGCAGGTTGGAAGAAATGACTACCTGGCAGAAGCCTTTCACTTTCTCTGCCTCCATCAGGCGCCGGATGGACTGCGGTGGCAGGGATCAGAAAAGGACCAGCCTCAGGCCCAGGCCTCCCTGGGCCCGCTCAGCCCCTTGCAGCCCCCCTACCTCCCATCTCTCCTCTTCATCATCCCAATCTTCCTGAAGCTCAGCTCTGATCGTGTCAGCCCCTAGCACCCCATCACCTATGGCCCCTATTCCCCACTACTCAAGCAAAGCTCTTCATGATCAGACCCCATGCTTCCCATCACCCTGCCATGGCTCACAGATTCCCCGGGGAAGCTCTCCCCCACCCCCCAGACCCCCTCCCCCATGTTGTCCATGACACCCTGCCTGGCCCAGTTCAACCATCACCTTCTTCAGACACCACCCCTCCACCCAGACCAGAATGAAACTAGTCTCCTCTGCTTAGCCAGACAATTTGATTTTAACGATTTTTTTAAGTTAGCATAATAGTAGGCATTTAAAACATGTATTCAATCTGTGTAATGAAGGAAGCGTTTTTATGACTCTCAGTTTATAGCTAAGGAAATTGAGGCTCAGAGAAATTAAGACTTGCTTCAGGGCATATGGATAATGGATATTATTGTAGAGGTTCAAATCCAGGGGTCTGACTCCATCCTTCACACTCTTAACCAATCCCTTAATGTCAAACAGAAAGGGCTCCAATTTCTGCCTCTGCCCCAATCTGTTAATTCAGCATGCAGTGGCTGAAAATAAGAGCAGAGTAACCTTGGGCAAATCACTTCCCTCTGTGAGCCTCAGTTTTCTCATCTGTCAAATGGGTGTTGTGATAGCTACCTCATTTAGGAAGAGGGAGAATGACATAATATGTTGTGAGTAGAGCTTAGTATACAGCCTGAGAGATCATCAACACGTTCTCTTGCTCTGTAGTTATTAACTCTAAGGTAGCACCTGTCAACTTCAGATGGGTTGGGGAGACTTCTGTGTATGTTCTGTCTCCCCAACCAGCCTGTGACCCCCTTGAGGGGGTGGGGTTTGGTCTTCCACCTCTCCATGTCCCCCAGGGCCTACCCCAGTGTCTGGTACCTAGGACATGTGCAGCCACTGCATGTTGAATTAAAGTGACCAGTGGAGGCCTCCAGCCCTGGGCCCTGACAGATCTGTGTGAACGGCCCAGTGAGGCAGAAACAGTGGCTGTCACAAGCCATTAGGGGTGCCCCACCCCATCTCATCTCACTTCCCTGAGGCCCGCTTTCCCCTCTCCACTTCTAACCATGGCCCCAAGGGGAGAGAGGCCTGAATCACAGACAGAACCCACTTCCTCTGCCACCCACCAGACACCTGTTAGTGCCACTTACTGCAGACCCCGGCTGCCCCAGCTCACACTGACCCTGTCCACTGCTCCGTGAGCAATGACCAGTAGACAGGAACGAGAGCAGGTAATCCAGCCCCCAGGACCTGGTTTCAAATCCTGCTACGCTTGCAGCCGGCTCTGTGACTTTCAGCAAGCTGCTTTCCCTCTCTGGGCCTTGGCCTCTTCCTGTGCTACACTGGATACTTACCCTGTCAACCCCATGCGGTGTGGAAACTGGAAGAATCCACCAATGTGAAAACGCTTTAAAAGATTTATGCTTTGGCAGAAGAAAGCTGCAATAGGAGTCTAGGTTTTGAGTCTCCACTTTCTGTCCTTAAACAGATGACCTGACTTCTCTAAGCCTCAGTTTCCTTATCCATAAAATGGGCCCTTCTGGCCCTGATCATCTTGGGTTCTGCAGGTTGGATTCTAAGGAACTTAGTCACTGAGCCCTTGGACACCACTTCTGAGGAGGAGGACAGAGAAGCCTGAGCCCCAGCTCATGGCAGAGGTGGTAAGAAGAAAGTGGAAAGGAGCAAGGGGCTGTCTTCCCAACTGCCACGTGCCCCCCAGCAAGGCCTATACTCACCTCCTCTGCCCTCTGGGCCTGCGGATGGTTATCCAGAAAGGTGCCCTCAAGGACAGAGCCCACAATGGTCAGGCCCTTCCCTGCCTTGAGCTGGGAGGTCAGCGAGAGCAGCTGTGGATGGACCACGTTCTGGTCTTGGTCCACACGTACCAGCACCAGCAGCTGTGGCCTGAAGCGGGTGCAAGATCACGTGATCCATCCACCACCTCCCCAAGCACCAAAACTCATACACCCATGCTCCATACACTAACTGCCTGTCCTCCATGCTCCCATCCCCCTAAACATCCATCCACCCATGTCCTTAGGTTATCAACCCATCCAGTCATCTCCCACACATCTCTCCATCCACCCACCCATCCATTTCTGCATCCATCTCACTCACCCATGCATTCATCCATCCACCCACCCACCTATCCATCCATCTATCCACCTACCCATCCATCTATTTTATCCTTCAGTTATCCATTCACATCCATGTTAATTTACCAACACATGCATTATTCATTCAATTACCCTCACATCCACCTACCACCATCCATCCACACATTCATCTATTCACCCAACCACACTCCCATACATATATTCACTCAGCTATCTACCCATCTATTTATCTGTTCATTTCCTTATTCATTTAGCCTCCCCAGCCAACCATGAGTTTGATAGCATCCTCTAAGCACCTACTCTGGGCTAGATCCTGTGCTAAGCATTTAAGGATTCACAGACTATGTATGCAAAACTCCAGTCTCTAAAAGGCCAGTTTTATCGCTTCTCAGCCTTTTGGCTAAGATCAATTGTAGTATCTGTTCTTATCAGTTTAATATCTGATTATATATGGAATTTAGAAAGATGGTAACGATAACCCTATATGCAAAACAGAAAAAGAGACACAGATGTATAGAACAGACTTTTGGACTCTGTGGGAGAAGGCGAGGGTGGGATGTTTCAAGAGAACAGCATCGAAACATGTATATTATCTAGGGTGAAACAGATCACCAGCCCAGGTTGGATGCATGAGACAAGTGCTCGGACCTGGTGCACTGGGAAGACCCAGAGGGATCGGGTGGAGAGGGAGGTGGGAGGGGGGATCGGGATGGGGAACACATGTAAATCCATGGCTGATTCATGTCAATGTATGACAAAACCCACTACAATATTGTAAAGTAATTAGCCTCCAACTAATAAAAAAAATAGTACATTCTTTTGGAGAATAATAAAAAAAAAAAGAAAAAAAAAGAAAAGGCCAGTTTAGTAGACATGAGTGAGGACAAGTCCACGATGTCCTCATTTAGAGTTCCAGACTTTACTCTTAGCAAATTGAACCTGAAGGAGAAGAAGGGCTTGCAGAGCAAGCAGTTAGAAAGCACCTGGGCTAAGAGGCGGGAGGGGAAGATTCTGGCTCTAGTTTTGCCTTCCACAATCCCTGAGACCTTCCCTAAGCCCTGGTTTTCACGTGCAGCAAATAGTAGTAGCAGTAGTGAAGTTCTACTCATGTCCAACTCTTTGCGACCCCATGGACTGTAGCCCACCAGGCTCCTCTGTCCGTGGGATTGTCCAGGCAAGAATACTGTAGTGTGTTGCCATTTCCTTCTCCAGGGGATCTTCAAGACCCAGGGATTGAACCCAGGTCTCCCACATTGTAGGCAGATGCTTTACCATTTGAGCCACCAGGGAAACCAATAGAGAGATTGTTACTAATCTAGAGATTTCTAAGAGGCCCTGTTAATTCTCAAAGTGGATGATCCCACCTCTCCTAGGGCGAATGCTCTCTGATACCCCACTTACCTGTCTGGGCACATGCCTTCTCCAGGGAACTGTGAGCTCACTACGTCCCCGGAGACCAGAAGGGGGCGGTGCATAGATCCTGTGTTCATATGTGTTTTTTTTAACAAATGATGTGATGAATGGAGGTATGGATAGATGCTTAGAAACCGGCATGGCAGGTAGGGTTTTGGAGAACAAATGTGTGGAACCTCAGCTCAGCCTCAGCGTTACAGGAGGGAAGGGTTCAGATGAGGCCGAACACCACTCAGCCAGAGCAGAAGGAAGCAGGCAGGGTGGGTCAGGCCCCGCTGCTTTCCCCTTTGGTCGCCATCACTCACCTCCAGTTCTTGGTGTGAGGGGGCCCTTCTTCCAGGCGCAGCAGGGCATAGCGAGCAGCGCTGAGAGACAGGCCTCGGATCCCATCGCCCCATTCCTTCTCTGCCCTGGGAGCCGGGAAGGGGAGATCACGAGAGGCAGAAAGCCGGGGAGTGCCAGGGAGAAGCACCCACCCCCCAGTGTGGAACCAGAGCCGTCCACCTCGGGCTCAGAAGGCGGTGGCTCCTGGCCACCTCCATTTCTCAAAGCCTCAGCACCTCCCTCTGCTCCTGTCCTACCCCCTCATGCTTTTCTCTCCATTCTCCCCATCTTCTCTCCCTTTTGGTCTTAATCCCACCCCTACCCCCCAAGTTCCCATCACCTCTCTCCCCTCCTCGCCCCCTCCCGTCGCTCAGCCTCGCCCCGCCTTACCCGCGGTACTCGATATACTTGTAGATGAGCCCAGCAATAAGCATGGCCACCAGGGCGTAGTACCAGGAGCAGATGAACATGAGGGCCAGGCAGAGGCTCATGCCCAGGAAGGAGAGTGTCCTGGACAGTGGGAGGGAGACCCAGCCTCTGAGCCCCTGGCGGGGTTCTCACTGGTGCCCGGGGCTCAGACGGCAAGAGTTAGATAGGGCAGGGAGGGCCTGGGCCAGACCTAGGAGGCTACGGCCAGGGCTAGGGGAGCCCATGCCATCATCTCCAGGAGCACCAGCAGAATCTGGAGCCTCTGGGTGGATGAGCAGCCGCAGACAGGGCCCCACCCAGCTCCTCAGTCACCACACTGCCCCGGCCCAGTACCTCAGGCCCTGGCAGACCACCCTGCCAGATGGTTTCTGAGGGCAGGGGTCTCTGGGGAGGGTTGGAGGCAAGATCTCCCAGGAGGAACATGGGACGAGGCAACTGGTGCGGCAGGGGCGCCGAGGTGGGAGGGAGGCAGGCAGCCTGGGCTCTGGTCTAGGTGTGCCATAGCCTTGGGGCGGGGGTGACCTTGGGCCCATCCCTTTCCCCACCAGAGCCTCCATTTCCTTTTGGTAGAATAAGCATGATCGTGCCCGCCCTGTCTGTCCCACCAGCCTGTTGTGGGGATCAGGAACCATTAAGCAGAATGAGCAGAAGTCCGGCCCCACACAAGAAGCACCTTCTGAGCCCTAAGCACTGTAAGGCTCAGAGGTGCCTATGAGGTAGGTACAGTTATTGTCCCATTTCACAGCTGGGGAAACTGAGGCTTCCTCATCAAGACTGGCAGGGGTTGAGCACTATGGACATGAGAGGGATTCTAGCTGGGACTGTTTATACTGTCTTCAGTTATTACTTGTCATTATAAGGAGACCTTCACCAGGACTTTCCTCATGCTACTTGGGCTACAAAAGCTGGAGTTGAGGATCCTGAGACCTGGAGGGGATAGGCTGGGGTGAGGGGTCGGGGAGAGAATGGTCCTGTGAGATGCGGGGGCGGGGGGGTGGGGGACAGGCACCCACCAGTGGTAATATCGAAAGCGTGGCCGCCAGTTGGGCGTCCTCAGCAGTGTCTGTACCGCGCAGGCCAGGTTCACAAACATGTAGCACATGAGGAAGAACCTAGAACACAGGAAGGCCCCAGAGAGACAGAGATGCAGGAGAGGCAGAGACAGACACACAGGGAGAGAAAAGGGGGGAAGGGAGGAAGAGACCGGGGAGGTGGCCGAGTCATGTTCTGACGCGTAGGAAGGGATTCAGAGGCCAGATCCCCTTACAGCATGCCCCGGTGCACGTGGGATGACTCTCTGCACAAGAGAGGACAGGTTTCTACGACACTGGGCTCGTTAAAGTGGTTCAGGGGGCTGTCCAGGGTCACAGCTGGAGCAACCCCCAGAGCTGATGGGAGGGCAGGAGGCCAGGACGCACATAGAGAGGATGGGGGCGACCTCGTCCAGGGATGCGATGAGGATGCCAATCTCGCAGATGCAGGCGGTGAGGAGCAGGGCCCACGTTGGCTCTCCGTTGGCTTTCCCGTGGCCAAAAACCTGAGGACACAGCACCATCACAGGGGCCTGAGACCCTAGGGACTTCTTGTCTCTCTCCTCCAGTCCTGGGGACCAGTACAGGAGAGGCAGAGAGAGGGATGCTGCGCTTCTCATCCTTTAAAGGGACCCAAGGGGATACCAGGTTTTTGCTGTATCTTTCCCACCCTGACATTGGTGCCCGAGTGCAGGGAAGTTCAGATGATCCCTGAAGGGGAACAGGAGGGGACAGATGGAGGAGCAGCTCCAGGCGGCCAGCAAGCAGCCGGGACAGAGTTCATGATATACATATATTTTTCAAGAACCACAGAGAGCACCCTCCTCTCATTTGCCCTTTGGCTGTCTCCCTGAGTCCCCGCCCAGTCACAAGGCCCAAGGAGGACCATTTATTTTTCTCCCTAAGAGCAGACAACCCTGCCCAAAGAGATGGCCCTGAGGATGGACCAAGTCCCATTTTTCGTAGTGGCATCACAGAGAGGCAGGGACCAGAAGGCAGTTGGAGGCTTGCTGTGGCCTCTGCTCACCGGGTGGCCTCGCTGGGCAGGGGCCTGGGTGGCTGGTATAGGGGGTGGACTATCGGCCCACGCCTTGCCCAGCACTGACCTGGAGGAAGGGCACTATGCCATCGCGGGAGATGGCCTGCAGCAGGCGAGGGGCCCCCGTGAGGCTCTGAAGCCCAGCCCCGCAGGTGGAGAAGAAGGATCCGATGACGATAACCCAGGGGGACGGCCAGGCCAGGGTGCCTACCACCAGATTGCCGTTCACAGCTTCGCCAAACCTGGAAGGGAGCAGGAGAAGATAGGAGATGCTGGGTGAGCAATGCCACCTAGATTTCCAAAGGTTTCCCATGCCAACTGCGGGGCCAGCTGTACGTCCACCATGGGGCTTGGCTGTGTAGGGGTGAAGGGACAGACAAAGCCCCTGATGATGTGGGCTGTCTGTGTGGCCTTGGGCAAGACATTCAACCTCTCTGTGTCTCAGTTCCTTCAGCTGTAAAATGAAGATCATTATAAGCCTATCTCATATGATTGGTGGGAGGAAGAAGGAGATAACGTATGTAAAATGCTTAGCACAGTGCCTGGAACTTAGTACTAGTGGCAACTCAATTTTTTTTTAATTGAGATATAGTTGATGTACATAAGATTATATAAGTTTCAGGTTTACAACATAGTGACCCACAATTTTTAGAAGCCATACCTCATTTAGTTATTATAAAATATTGGCTGTATCCCCTGTGCTGAACAATATATCCTTGCAGCTTATTTCTTCTACACAGAGTAGTTTGCACCTTTTAACGCCCTCCCCTTGTCTTGCCCCTCCCCCCTAATAATGATTTGAGTACATGGTCAATTGTATAAGACTGCGTCATCCTGGGCAGATATCTTAACCTGTGTCTCCAACTGGAAAATGGGGATTCTGGCCTCATCACATGGTGACGTGATGCAGTATGAGAATCAAGAAGAGCTTTTTCTGTTTTTCAGACAGTGCCATTTGGCTTCCCCCTGGACTCCCTGACTCAGTTCCCTCCCTGCGAGGAATCCATCCACATTAGCAGCCAGAGTGAGCCTTCAGGAACAACAAACTGACCATTTGGCACTGTCTTAAAACAGAAGGCGCTGCCTCAGTAGGCAGAGGGGGTCCTGGCCCTGTAATGTGCAAGCAGAGGTTGTACCACATGGGTTCTGTTTCCCAGAACCCGGCCCCCTGATGCCCACCCCACCTTCCCCAGAACAGGATCGTCCCTGAGCCCCTTACTTACTTGTCCCGAAGGACGACCCCCTCGATGCAGGCCCCAAACAGGACCACGGAGCTGATGTCTGCAGCAGAGGATGAAGGAGAATCCCCTGGGTGGCATTCTCCGTCCTCCCCACCCCTCCTGAGCCAGCCAGAGGAGTCAGCAGCTTCAGAGACCCTCCGTCTAGCCCTCCCCACCCACAGTGGTCCCCGCCCAGCCGTGCAGGATACAGACAGCGGAGGTGGTAGCGATGGCCAGGATGGTGCCAGTGGGAATTGACTTCTGGGCATCCCGCAGGTCCCCAGAGCGGTTAGAGCCAGCCATGATCCCTGTGGACAGAGGAGCAGCTAGGACAGGAGCCGTGGGAGACCAGACAAAGGACACCCGCCTCCGAGTCATTAACCCAGGAGTCTAGTCCTGGCCCACTGACTTGTGTGAGAGCTTGAGCGTGTTACTTGGCTACTCCAGGCTTTAATCCCCTCACCTGTCCAGTGGGAGGTGAACTGGCTCCTGCTTATGTAATGGGGCTACTGGACTAAGAAATTCCCCACATCATGATTGACTTTCTCCCTACCCATCCACTCCCAGGCAGAGTCTTCCCTCTCTGAGCTCCCCTTCACCTGTGACTGAGGGGAAGTAGATGCCGACCAGCAGGGTGAAGTAGGAGGTCATATCGCTGAAGACATAGGGATGGTCCATGTCGACGGGGGTACCATCTGCCAGGCCTGCCGAGGGCATCCCACGCCTTTCCACAATCACCCCCTTGGTCAGGTAGGAGCTCCATAGGTTCTCTGTGGGGGAGACATGACTCTCAGATGGCAGGGTGCCAGAGCTCTGGGGCCAGGAGGCAGGGCAGACAAAAAGAAGGGTCAAAATTAACCAGCTCTTATTTCCACCAACATTTCCTAAGCTCCTGCTCTGGACCAGGGGCTTTGCACATGAATCAGATCTAGTCCTTGCTCTCAAACGGTCCAATCTACTGGGGAACATAGACAACAGAGACCTATCTCAGACTGATTCAATATGTCCCAAACTGATCTTGCCACCCACTCTCAGCAAACGGCTCCTTTCCTTTACCCCTTATCTTGGTAAAAGGCACCACCATCCATACAGACATTGCCCACAACTGTTGCCTTTCCCCATCTCTGTTTCAAAACCTTCTCCAACTCCTGTCCATTATTCCTCCTAAATATTTCTCAAATACACCCCTTCTTGCCTTTCTAGTGTTTCTCCACTCTGGCACTACTAACTTGTAGTGATAACTATGATAAGAACAGGCAATTCTTTGTGTGTGGGGGGGTGGGGGGGCTGTCCTCTCATGTTGTAGGGTATTTAGCCACACCCCAGCCTCTACGCACCAGATGCCAGTAATAACTCTTCAGTTGTGACAACTAAAAATATCTCTAGATGCTGCCACCTGTCTCCTGGGGGGTAGGGGGGGTGGGGCGGGGAGCAAAACAGGCCTGATGGAGAACCACTTTGCTGTCACCCACCGCTCTCAGTAAGAAAGCCATCGTTTCTCAGCAGGACTCAGCATCAGCCTCCTAGACCCCCTGACTCAGTTCCCTCCCTGCTCTGAACCCATCCACATTAGCAGCCGGAGTGAACCTTCAGAAACAACAAACTGACCACGCCTGCCTCTTACTCAGAACCCTTTGGTGGCTCCTCATCACCCTCTGAACACTGTCCAAACTTTTCAACACGGCTTCCAGGGCTGACCACAGTCTGGCTCATGTCAGTCTCTCCAACATCATTTCTTGCCCCTCCTTCCCTTGCACTTTATGCCCCAGTCACACCAAATTACTCGTGGTTGGAAGGGCACAATATGCCCTTCTGTGTTTGCATGCTTTTAGGCAAGCTGTTCTTCTGCCTGTAATTCCCTTATTCCCCTTGTATAGTTGAAAGCCTCTTATTTGGTCTTCAAAACCCTTCTCAGATGAATCCAGGAAGCCTTGTCTTACCACCTTATACACATGACCACTCTCTCCCTTGGGAGAACTCTGTTCATTGAATGCACATCTACACATGTCATAATTTATTTGCTATTACATCTGTCTCTGCTATTAAACTCCTTGAGGCCAAGAACTGTGACTTATTTATGCTGTGTTCCTGATGCTCAGCACAGCGCTAGGCATTTAGCAGGTGCTTAGTGAATGCTCGCCAAACTGATGGCTTTCTTTCCCACTAGATGAAAAGACATGCAAGGGTTCCCTTTCATTTCTACCCCTCTGTGATCCCAAGGATAGAACATGGCCCAGAGTAGGTGCTCAATTAAAACAGATCGAATTTAACTGAATCCCAAAGAGAGTCCCTTAATCCTAACTGATTAGTCCACAATCCCTGCAGTGTTCCCTGGACACCAGACCTCTTCCCTCCCTCAGACCTTTGATGAGGCCACTGGCAGCGCCAGGAATGCCCTGGATCTCCGTGACATTGTTTCGCATGAAGTACTCATCACAGGTGGCGTTGAGGAATTGGGAGGAGCAGAAAAGGCCCCAGAGCCGTGTGGTCACTGTCTCATTTCCTTCCCACGCCAGCTTGGCACAGACATCAAAGCCATGGCGAGACAGTGTGCGGTTCCCCAGGAGGCAGATCCTAGGGAGAGAAACAAGGGAAGAAGGTGGGGGAGGGATGTAACCTTGCCCTGGTTTCATGGTAGAACCGCCAGGGGAGCATGAAGAAACACAGATGCCAGGGCCCCACATCCAGAGATTTCGATTTAACTGGGATGGAGCCCAGGATCAGCGTTTTCTTCAAAGCTCCTAACCACTGGCCCGCTGGGGAATCCCCTGCCTCCCAAGCGACTCTAGTATGAGCCGGGGCAGAGAACCACTGCTTTCCTGCGAGGCTGTTTCAGCACCGCGGACAGCAGTCTCAATGTGCCACTCCTGAACTGTGTTATGTAGGGAGATGTGTCCTGGGGAGAGAGGCTGAACCAAGAGGGACCTGAGCCCGTAGACCCTCTCTTCTGTGTCCCGTCCTGCGATAGAGAAGGTGCTCAATACTAAGAGGTTGTCTCGTTCCAGAAGGTTGTTCCCCACCCAAGAAAAGCTTTCCCTCACACAGACTGGTCATCCCTTCAGAAAGCTTTCCACCTGACTCTTGCTAGCTCCACCTGAGTGAGCATGCTCACTCGTGTCCAACTCTGTGACCCCATGGACGGTAGCCTGCCAGGCTGCTCGGTCCATGGGATTTCCCAGGCAAGAATACTGGAGTGGGTTGCCATTTCCTACTCTAGGAGATCTTCCCAACCCAGGACTTGAACCCATATCTTCTGCTTGGCAGGTGGATTCTTTACCTCTGAGCCGCCTGGGAAGCTCAGCTCACCAGCAAGCAGTTGACCCTCGCAAGGGAAACTGTGCCCACCTCTAAAAAAACTTACCCCACCCTAAAGAGATTTACCTGAAATCAGGAGAGGTTTTCCCTCCCAAGAGAGTCTACTCTGGATCCACAACCACTGATTCTGAGGGCTAGGGGCAAGCTGGGGGTGGCAGAGACTAGTGTAAAGACCCTGAAACCAGCCCGGGAGGAGGGGGAGGGTGCCCAACGCGCAGGGCAGCCACACTTACGGGAAGTTGGGTGGGTCGAAGGCAGACTTGATGACTCCAGCATAGATGGCCAGGATGGAGAGGATGACACAGCCCAGGAAGACGAGGGCGAACTTGTTGACGTACTTGACGCCCACAAACACCACAGTGGCCATACAGGTGAGCACACAGGTGCCATACACACGCATGTTGTTCAGCATGGCTGCCGCCTCCCCGCTGGCATCTTCTGCCTTAAAAATGGCCATGGCTGGGAAGAGGTAAGCCTGTGGGAAAGGGGTGAGGCGGTCAAGCAGGCAACCCAGTGGGGGCCAACGAAGAACCACCCCAAGGAAATAACCTGAGGCGCAGGCAGGGCTTAGGAGAAAAAGACAACTCTTCACAGCATATTTACAGTAATCCGAGACTGGGAAAGACATCCAATGATAGGGTCTGTCCTACGAAGACTATATATAGTCATTATACAGTCATTAAAAGATGATACTGCAAAAATGCTAGGAGCAATGATTAATTTCTATCATTTGTGTTATCAAGTATAAGTATTAATGATTATTTATTGTCTTTATTATTTAATTAGAAAGGCAGATATAAATTAGACATTCACCCCTAGAGGTTTGGGTAAATTAATCATGGCATTTCCAAATAGATTATGTAGCTACTAAAAAGGACAACAAAGATTTATATGAACCAACTTTAAAAAGCTATCCCTGTTAGACTGGATAAAAACAATCTATTTTTAAAGAGAATGTGTCTTATCTCATTTTTGTAAATATATATATGTGTACTTACATGTGAATATATACACACATACGTGTGTATATATGTCTGTCTGTGTGTAGATACATCAAAATGTTAACAGTCGTTTCCCCTGAATGGTGAAAATGTGAATAATTTTTATTCTTTTTGCACATCTGTATTTTCCATATTTTCTATATGAAATATTAATATATTTATATTGTTACAAAAGTTATTTTCAGTTGTAAGTGATATTTGCAAAGAGAGTTTTCAACTATTAGAGAAATCTATAGTTTTATAAAGACAAAATGCAATATCATAAAGAAACAAAAAAACTAGAAGATACGCCAAAATGTTAATGATGACTTTCTTCAGGAGATTGCTATTTCCCTTTTTACAGTCTTTGATTTTTTCCAACTTATTTTTTTTTAATTTTCCAATTCAATGGGTAGAATTACTTTTATAGTAATTTTTTAATTTTGTAAAAGCCATAGAGGTCTATTATTATTCTCTCACAATTTGGCTTCTTGGGTCTTTTATTCCCCATCTATCCTTCTTGACCCTGGACTTCTCCAATCTGTCCCCAAGCCAGAAGCCGAAACATCTGTTAGTTCTAGTTCTCTAAAGCAATGCCATCGGGTGGACATGCACAGGCTTCAGAGTCGGAAAGACACAGTTTCACATCCCTTCCACATGCCCCTTTAACTCTCTGAGCCTTGCCTTCCTCACCTGTAAAATGAAGATATCTAACTCATGCAAGAGTTATGAGAATAAAATAAAATGACACATGGCCAGCCACGGGGCCTGGGTAGAATACGTGTTTGGGAAATGTCAGCCTGGCTCTCTGTATACCAAGGAACCTTCAGCTCCCACTTCCTCCTGCAGGGGCAGGAAGAACTGAGGCCCAAGTCAGCAGCTGTCCACTTCAGACACTGCCCAGGGCCCTGACTGCTCATCAGTCACTGCTTCTGACATCTCTTTCTCAGCTCCTTCTTCTCAGCAACCCGCCAGCCATCTGCCCTCTACCGTTAACATCCACAGAGTGCCCAGCACTGCCCCCTGGCACGTAGTAGGCGACCACTGAGGGACATGACTGTTATCATTTCTACCACGACTGTACTCTTCCTAACCCACCTCTTGCCAGTTGGTCGCCGAGTGACCTTGAGCAAGTCGTTTCACCTCTCTGAGCTTCTCATTTGTAAAATGGGCATAATAATACTTAAACTTCGTGAGGATTCAAGCTAATAACTGTAAAGCACTTGGAACTCTGCTGAGAGCACAGTGGGTGCCTGATAAACGACAGCTGTTCATGTTACATAATTAGTGTATCCTGTCTCCCCAACTAGACTGTGAACTCTTTAAAGACAGAACCACATCTGATATCCCTCTGGCCTTACTGAGTGACCCAGCCTACAGGAGGTGTCCAGGGAGTATCTGTTAACTGACTGCCAGCCCGCAACCCACACCTCCTCCCCGGCCCCTCTTACCAGCAGGATTTCAATGGTGCCCAGGATGTACATGGCCCCAGCAAACGTGGTGCCCAGGTAGAAGCAGAGGCCCACGGCACCCCCAAACTCTGGACCCAGAGACCTGGAAATCATGTAGTAGGAGCCGCCAGCTGCGGAAAGAATCCAGTATTGGCAAGAGGTTCGAGGGACCCTGGGCTGCTGTAGGGGGTGAGGGGGGATCAGAGACAGTGGTGGGAAGGGGGCTGCCCTGGGCCTCACAAGCCTTACAGGCTGTATTGGGAGACCCAGCCAAACACTGAGTGGGTTTTACAGCACTAATTACCATGTTGCTAATTACCCCTCTAAGGAGATCATGGCTCAGAAAACAGGATGATGGCCAAGAGGGTCTCAGGCAAAGGGAAGAGATCTTTCATCGCCCCATTCAACACCACCAACAGCCTCCTTCCCCTCCCCTTAAGAGGGCTGCCCCCACCAACTCCACAGACATCACAGCCCAGCCCCAGGCCTGCAGTATTGCCTCTTGGGGTTCCTGAGGACACCCATAGCTCTGGGCACTGCCCCTCCTTCCTTCCAACCACCCAGGTCCCCCTCCCACCCAGCCAGGGCCCCTTCCCCTCCAGGCGGCCCCAGTCACATACCAGGCACAACACCATTGGTTGCGATTGCACTCATGGAAATGGCCGTCAGCATCGTCTGTGAGGACAGAGATCGCCGTCAGGGTGGCAGCTACCCCATAAGCACCCGCCAAACCCACAAGTCCTCTTCCCCTGAGTTTCTCCTTGGTACGGTTCCAACTCCTACTCCTGCCAAGTCCTTCTTGTCCAGAAAAACCTCTTCTTCACCCAGCACATGGAAGGAATGCAAGCTCTTGCATCAGAGAGCTCTGGAAACCCCAGCTTGGCCTCTGACCAGCTGTCTGACTGGAGGAGACACGCCACTTCAGTTCTCTAAGCCTCCATTTCTTCGTTTATTCAATAGGCAGGTGTACCAGCTTCGGCACTGGCTACCGCACATGTCGAGGGGGGAATCGCAGGTCACACGTGAGGAAGCATAAATGTCACGGAACGTAGGTGTTTAGTGAACATGTGGGGTTTTTTTCCAAGAGGATGGGAAGAATTCAGCCAGACCTGTTTGGGACCCATCATCCCGTTTTCTTGTGAGTCGAGACCTACCAAAATGTTAACTGTTGTGGGGCTGTAGGTGGATCTAATTTATTAATGTACACCTATCTTTTTTTATCAATGAGTCTGCTGCACCCACACAAAGATCCAGGTGACACCTGGTTAATGGCCATCAGGGATGAGCCTGGGAGAGGCTGGAAGGCCCAGTCAGACCTAATTTCCTCTCCAGGATTATACACAGTGTTTCGTATAAAAAGTCTCATGCTCCCCACCCCCCTTCCCCTCCCCTCCCACCCCCAGGTACCTGCTCAACCCCCAGCTGTCAGGGAACGGGCGAGGGGAGCGAGTCACTCACACAGGAGCAGCAGATGAAGACCATGCAGAAGGCCTCTATGATGCCTGCGATGCCCACCACCCATGTGAGCCGCAGGAAGAGGATGACCCCAAAGATGTTCTGCAGGCACGGTAGGTACACGCCCATGAAGGTGCCCATGCGGGGGGCCTGCCAGGGAGGCTGGCATCAGTCTCTGCTGCCCCCGATCCCTACCAGCACCCCAGGCCCTCTCCTCTTCCCCATAATTTCATCCCCCTTCCCTCCCCCCCCATCTCTACACCTCATCTCCCATCCCTTCCCCTCCCTCCGCCTCCACCTCCTATCCTTCTGTCTCCATCATCCACCCCTTCACCTGAATCCTTTTTTCCTCGCGCCTTCTCTCTCCTCCAGGCCTTTTGTCCTCCCCCAGCCCTTCTTCCCCAAGGCCCTCACCTGCACCGGCTTCTTTTTTCCACCCTCGTTGTTTTCTGCCTCCTCGTGCTCCCTGCTTCCCTGGGGCAGGTTTGTGTAGTTGGCCAGGCCACTGAGCAGGGAGGACACCATGGGGCTGGTGTCCATCTCCTCCTGTGGAGGGAAATTGTTGGTGTTGGGGCGCCAGGGTCTAGAGGAGGGTGAGCCAGGTGGTAGGAGGCAGAGAGAGATGGGGACCAGGAGGCAAGCCGTTGAGACTGGGATGAAAGGGGCAGGGAGAGAGGGGATTAGGATAAGACGTGGGGGAGCAGGGGGAAAGGGAAAGAGAAGGGATGGGGAGGTTCAAGGAAGAAGGCGGACCTGAGGGAGCAATGGAGAGGAGGGGACAGTGCCCCCAGGGAAGGAGGGAGGGAACAGCTGATGGAGGTGGAGCTGAATCGTGGGGGGCGGTCCCAGGACCCCAAGCAACCCACCTCAAACAGGGCCATGTTCTTGCCATCATACTCCTTCCCCTTCTCTGTGTCGGTGCTATTGATGAAGGGGCTGCTCTCCTTAGGGTTGCCATCACCTGAGAAGGCAGAGCAGTGAGAGACTTGGCATCAAGTGTTTGTTACTCGTCTGCCTGGGCATCCAGCTGGGTGGCCACTTTAACTCACTGAACCTCAGTCCACACATTGAAAACACGAGCTAATGCTACCTCCCTTGCAGAATTTTAGTTCTGTATAACAAACCTAGCGCACTCCCTGACATGTGCAGGGTATTTAATGAATGTGGAAGTACTTCCTTGCTCTGGTTGGGGGTGGGGGGGCCCTACTTCATTCATCAGGGCACCCAAGACTCTCCAGAGTTCCCTCCTTGACCGAAACTGGCCCACCCAGGTGTTTGGGGGGCAGGGGTGGAAGCATGCTCTTTCCTGGAGGGGAGACAGAGACCACTGCAGTCTGAGGCCCCCAGGATACTCTGCCTCTTGGAAAAGTGACCCCCTTTGGCATATGCTGTGACCCTGATTCATCTTCAGTCAGTGTGTATTTACTGGATGTCTCCTGCATGCCTGTGTGGGCGTGGGGGTGGGGGAATAAAACACAGCCTAAGACCATCCCTGCCCTCGGGGAACCCAAAGGCAGGGGAGATAAACCCATAGCCAGGAGTTTCCAGCCCAGAGTGGTAAGTTGTGGGGCAGAATATGAACGATGGACTGTGGGAACACGGAAGAAGCACTCAGCCCAGCCTGGGAGGTCACGGAAGGCTTCCCAGAGGAAGTGACGTGTTGGCTGAGAATTGAAGGATGAGTAAGAGCTAGACTGGGAGGGAGCCGGGAGGGTGTTCCAGGCAGACAGAACAGCAGAACAGCGTGTTCGATGGCCCAGAGGTGAGAGCGAGCTGGACTGGGTTACAGGGCCTGAAAGAAGTTTGATCTGAAGGAGTCTAAGGAAGGGGAATGGGGGGAGGGGCGCTGGAGGATGGAGGAGAAGCAGATGAAGAAAATGAGGCTAGGAAGGTAGGTGTGGGCTGGGTCCTTAAGCGACTAGCCAACCGTGTTAAGGATTTTGGACTTCATCCAGAGGACAGTGGGAAGTCACTGAAGAGTTTCAGGCAAAAAAGGACCGTGGACAAATTTGTGTTTTAGAGCAATCACTCTGGCCTTTTGACAAAGAATAGAGAAGTTATTTAGGGGGGACTTTCCTGATGGTCCAGTGGTTAAGACACCATGCTTCCACTGCAGGGGGGATGGGTTCAATCCCTGGTTGGGGAACTAAGATCCCACATGCCAAAAAAATAGAAAAAAAAAAAATGCAGAAGCTAAGGACTTTCAGAAATCCGGACAAGGACTGATGATACCCCAGACCAGAGCAGTGTGGAAAAGTGAGCAAACTAGAGAATTATTGGCACACATTTCTATGCCAGATGTGTGAGGATGTGAGAAGGAGGGATCTAGGATAATGCCTGGGTTTCCAGCAGAGGTAAATGGGTGGATGATGGTGCTATTTAATAAATGGAGGGAAAAGAGGGAGTGGGGGTGGGGAAGAGGCTGAATTTTATTGATGGTGAGGCACTGTAGGACACTCAAGAGAACTTGTCCAGAAGCCCTTGGACATATGGATCAGCCTGGGACCCAGGAGAGAGGCTGGGCATGAGAATCAGGGGTAGCCCGTGAAAAGTTGTGTAGCAAGTGTATGAAACCACGTGCCTGGATGAGATCATGCAAGGAGGAAGTCTCTACGGCATTAAGGAGAGGGTCCTTTCAAAGAGACCTCCACACACACACACACACAGGCACACTCCCGTGGCTCCAGCCATCACACTTTCTCAATTTTCAGGGCTGAATCCCAGTAGTAGACATCTCTTTGGACTCCAATGACCAAAACAGAAGTGAAGTGGAGGCCGTACATATTCTGAATTTCCTGTCCCGTCATCTCCTGACCTCTCTCTCTCTCCCCATCCTCTCCTCCTGAAAACCTCCCTTAGTCTCTCGGCCAGGGTCGGTCCCCAAAGCATGACCTGCTATAAATCCAGTCTCATCCTGACTCAAAACTGTGGAAGTGATGCCTCACAACCTCAAGGGAAACCCACAGCCCACAGTCTCCTGCCCCTACCTCCACTTCACTCATCAAGCCAAGAACTCCTGACCCCCAAATGGGGCCTCCACCAACTCCCTCTTCTCCTCAGGTACATGAGTTCCTGGGATTAGCAGACCAGTCCTGCCAGTGGGAGTCTGGCACGTAATAGGTGCTCAGCAAAAAGTCTGTTGAGGTGAATTACCCCGGGCTCCCTTCCTGACCCTTCAGGTCTCGGAAGAGCTCTTTGGGGCTAGAGAACAGGAGAAATAAAAGTGAGGTGGGTCCCTCTTCATTTTTAAGATGCTGACAAGAGGCCTCGTGTCACCACATTATAGCAGGAACTGGAGTGCTGGGGATGAGATGAGAAGAAATTTCTTAATGGTTAAGAAAACAGGCTGGAGTCAAGAAGATTTAGGTTCCAGTTCCAACTTCGTTGGCTGTGTCGACCTGTTGGGCAAGTCACTTAAACTAAACCTCGGTTTCCTACTTTGCAAAGGGATAATAATCGTGTTTAACTCAGGGCTGTGGTGGGGATTCAGTAAAATAATGCCTATTCGGCGTGCGTGTATTGGGCGCATAAGTGTACTTACTGCTGTTACTATTACAATCACGATTATTACTAATATACGTGGTACCCCACCAACCCTGGCCGCCCTACCCCACACCCCTTCCCCAGCGACAAGATTTAGAGGCCCCGACTCCTGTGCGTTCTCCTCCCCGCGGCTCCTCGGGGTTAGGACCGTCAGGCACGAGAGCCCCCCATTCCTTTCACACCCCTCCCCCCCTCCTTCGTGGGGGCTCGGGGAGCGTGCAGGGCGGAAAAGAGGGCGTCCTGGCCCGAGACCGGGCATCGAAGCAGCCCCGCGCCGGTCTCCATGGCGACCGCGCGGGCAGAGAGCGCAGCGCGGAGCAGAGCCGGCCACGCGCCCGCAGCGGCTTATGTAACGCGGCGCGCAGCGCGGAGCTAGACTCCGAGCCGGAGCACAGCCAGGAGATGAGGGCAGGGGAGGGGGCAGCTCGTGGGCTTGTTCTCGGTCGCGCTTTTCCACCCGCTGTCTGGACGGGACGCCAGGCCCCCAGCCTGATCTGCCAGGGCTGATTTCGACCCCTCCCTGGAAGCCCGGTTGAGAGGGAGGGATGAGCTTCATGAGCCCTCAGAGGGGCAGGACCGCGAAGGGGGATCTCGCCCCCATTCCCTTAGCCGGGAGTCAGAAGGCTGGGAGATCGCCGTGCGGCGCGCGCGAGAGGTCGGGCCAGACAGAGGCTGAGCCCTCTCCGCCCCCGCCCTCGCCCCCGCCCCCTGGGAGCTCTCAGCCCGAATCGGCTTTCAATTAAGCTGCGGCCGCCAGAGCTCCCAGGGAGGAAACAGACTAGCGGCGCGGGCTAAGGAGCCTCCCCTGGGGGCCTGGGGCCAGGTCTGGGGAAATCCCCAAGTCAGATGAGGGGAGTAGGGGACGGCGTCAGACCCCAAGAGGAATGGAGACCTGGGGGCCAAAGACAATATCCTTGTGTTCTTTAGTCTAGAGGAGCCTACTTTCTCTGGTCATTCCCACCTCCCCGAGGTCAGGACCCAGGTCTCTTACATTTCCAAGAACCTAAGTTTAGAGATGCCGGATTTCCTCGGTTTGATGGTCTTTCCTCAAGCCCCGGAGGTCCTTGGACCACCCCCATCACCGTCTCCAGGTACCACTGGGAGGCCTTCTTTCTCTCTCTGGGGCCAAAATGCCTGACCCAGGTCCTGACCGCTCTAGTTTCAGGTCCGGCCACTCAGAGAGAGAGAGAGAGAGAAAGTCTGCAGACCAGTCTGCTACACTCGGAGTCTGGAAAACTTGTGGGGAGGGGGTAGAACTGAAGGGAGTTCCTAGTTGGAGTCCTGCTGCACACTCTTTTCTAGGCCACCTGAGACCCCACAGAAATCCCGTGGCCCAGGAAGGCGCCATCGTCAGGGTAGGGCAAGCAGGGCCTGGGGGACTGGACCAAACCCTGTGTCTGGGGGAGCAGAGCCCCCTCCTCGGAGTGGAAACATCTGAAGGGGATCCCGTGTGGGAATGACACCCGCACCTTCGTTCCCTAGGAGCAGCGACGGGATGCCCGGCTCTGCTGCAGACTCGACTTTGCCAAACCACCCCCCTCCCGCAGCCTGAACCTGCCATGGAGGAGGGCGCCTGCGGATTGACCCCAGGGTCACTGGGGAGATGGATGAGTTAAACAGCCAATAGTTCCTGCCCCTACTCAGCTTCAGGGAGGAAGAAGAGGTGTCAGAGGATGAGGGACCCTGGTGTCCACAGCCTTCCCAAGCGACCACTTGGCTCGGACTTGGACCCAGGATCCGGAGGACTTCAAGTCCAGGCTGCCAGTCCCTGAATGCCCCTGCGCTTTCAGCCTTTAGGGCCCTTGGGCCATCCCCCAGGGGAGGTCTGCAGGAGTCTTGGCCCAGAGGGTCAAGCAATGCCCAGGGGAGCGTTTGAAGGCGCTGAGCGCAGACAGCCCGAGCAGGAGGCGCGCTAGTGCGCAAGGGACGCAGCGCCGCTGGAGGGTGGGGGGTGGGGGCGGCTGACAGCCGTGATGGATGGCTGAGACCGCTGGGGGGCGGCGGGGGGCCTGGGAGCCCGAGGGGGTGGCTGGCCTCGAAGACCTCGGAGCAGGGAAACCGCGGAGGAGGGCGGGGGAGAGCGAGAGCCGCCAACGGACTCGCTCCAAGCCCCTCTGCTCCTAGCGAGTCTCCGCACCCACCGCAGCGCGTCCGCAGTGTCCGCGCCACGGCGCCGGGGATTCGGCCGCTGGGACCCCATTCCTGAGGCCTCACTGGGGAAGCTAGCAAAGCTGACTAGAGAGACTCCCCTCTGCCCCACCCTGGAAACCTCACAGCTATCCCAGGGTACCCAGAGGAAAGGGAAAGGGGAAAGAAAGGAGGGTGATCTTGCTTCCCGTCCTGAAAAGGAACCCATGGGAACGTGAGAGGAAGGAGATTCGGCAAAGTAGAGCTGAAAATCCCCGGAGGAGGTTCGCT